TCTAGTACAAACACTCTTGATATTTTCGGCCATCTGGAGGAACAGACGGTGTTCGCGTACCTCAACTTCCAGTAGTTATATCACAAGTTTATCACAATGAGATCAATGTCATTTTCAGATATTTCCGAAAAATGCGCTGAAGATGAGGTTACATGATACTGAAGGAGCGGAGGTGCACTACTTGTCTCCACGTGAACAGTTTGTCTGCAACAGGCTGCAGTCATAGAGGAGATATTTTACAACCGCTTCGTAAAATGAAATTTTTTAGATTTCATTCATTAACACTTAATTTAAATTTATAGGGGTGGGTTATTTTGACATGATTGAGGGACTAGGTTACCAATTATCTATCAATATCCTGTCATTACGCAGTTTACCTGTAATTAAAGCCGTCATTTCCCTTCACCTGTGATTGGGTGTGCCCCAGGGGAGGGGGGAAACAGGTGTGGGGAAGTAGGTTACATTGCCCTGGAACCGGGGAGGAGATGAGACGACTGTAGGGGGTCCAGTTACCTGCCGCACCCACCTGTACACAGATTCAGTGGTGGTCCCGTCTCGGTCTGCTGCGTCCTGGCCCCACTTGCTCAAAGCGATCTTAGCGCTAGGATGATCGTAAATCCCATACTTTAACAAAGGCTTACGATAGTCTTAGCACTAAGATCGCTTTGTGCAAGTGCGACCAGCTGGGTACCCCTGTACAAAACAACCTTAGCACTAAGAATGTCGAAAGCCTATGTTAAGGTATGAGAGATACGAACACCTCAGCGCTAAGATCGCTTTGTACAACGGCACCCAGGGTCCCGTTCAACAAAGCGATCGTAGCGCTACGAGTGTCGTAAGTCTATGTCAAAGTATGGTGTTACGCTTGTCTTGGCCCTAAGATCGCTTTGTGGAACCGGGCCCAGGTGTTTACGTAAACAGAATAATAACACAGCGATGAGCACAGCGGGATGCCACTTATCATATCTTAGGGCATGGAATCCATGTCAGACTTTGTTTGAGTGTTGAATGTTTGGTATAGTCTACAGGCCTGGCTGTGTTCCTGCCATGAGAACTAGATCAATGAAGTCTCTATTTCTGACCCAAATTGACTAAACATTGCGGTGTTACCTACTCCATTACCTGTGTTGTGTTCTGTCCCCAGTGGTATATTCAGTGTCGTCAATGTATTCAGACGACAACAATGGGATGTACAGCCAGGCTGGCTATACCTGTACATAGTTAATTGGATCGGGTTTCAAGATGATGGTTTTTTTTGTATTTGGTGATTCTCCAAGGCTGGACATTTAAATAAACACACCTCACTGCTCACTTAAAGGCCTTCATACCATGAAAACATCAAGTTCATACCAGCATCCCTGTAGAGAGAGCGGCTATATCCCCAGTACCCATCGTTTTCCCGTCATTTTGGAACATTAGAGCAAGTTCTGGCTGACTACCTTTGTACATTTTGAAGGACATTGAAAGGCACGTTTCTCACGGGGATGGCAAGCATAGACATATAATTAAAACAATTCCAACTTTTTTTTACATGACAAGGGTCCACTAGACAGATACCACACCAACATTGCATTGTGTTTAAAGTGAGTGAGTATGGTTTTACGCCGCTTTTAGCAATATTCCAGATATATCACGGCGGGGGACACCAGAAATGGGCTTCACACATTTTACCCATGTCGGGAATCGAACCCGGGTCTTCGGCGTGACGAGCGAACGCTTTAACCACTAGGCTACCCGACCGCCCCCATTGTGTTTAAATCTCTAGAAGGTAGTGGGCGTATAACATGGGCAATTAAAGTGATACGCGGGGCGTTCAATAAGTTTTGCAACTTCAATATAAGACCAAGTCGCAGAAAATCTTTTGCACTTTTATTTTTCAGTATAATCTCCATTCACCTCAATACACTTATTCCATTTGTCCCTCAAGCTTTTGATACCACTTTTATAGTAATCCGCAGATTGGCCCTCTAACCACGCCTCTGTGGCAGCCTTTATGTCCTCGTCATCCTGGAAGCGTCTTCCGCGTAGGGCAGATTTCATTTGCCGGAATAGGAAATAGTCACTGGGGGCTAAGTCTGGGCTGTAGGGTGGGTGATTTAACTGTGCAAAAGATTTTCTGCGACTTGGTCTTATGTTGAAGTTGCAAAACTTATTGAACGCAAATCGTATTGACTTTCTCTGAGTGGATTTGGCTGTTTGGTTCAAACGAGGATATGACTTTTTGAGGGAAAACGTATGTGGGTGCTTGCGTGTGTGATGGGCTTGTTCGCCAATCAGTTATTATTTTGGCTGAACACATGCCACCAAATGATCAAGTTACACATGGTTGTTTTTCATGCTATATCTCAACATGTAAATATCTTTATCGATTTGTTTACACTTAGATACCTTGCCACACTCATGACAGTACTCAATAAATGATTCATATGAAAGCTTCTGTTAGTAACATTTTAAACAACACTCTTAAATGTAGAGATATTTGTGTTCTAACATCCCTCGACACTTTAAAGTAGTTCTCACTTGATTTAGATACAGTAATTTTAAACTAGCTGTTGAAACTGTCCGTTATGACATAGTGGAGTATAACTAACGCCTATGTATGCATTGCACATCCGAAGGATTACGCTGTTACAGTGAAATGCATGTTTTACTTGTATGTAATTATTACACGTTAGGAAAAAGTATATAAGTAAGCTCGTTAAGGAAAAGCAGGGGCGGATTTTGAGGATAGTGGGGGTAGGGGTGTGGGGGTTGCGGGAGTGGGCACACACACACACCCCTTTAAAATATATTATTGTAATAAGGGTTAAATAACATTTAAATCAAACAGATGTTGAATTTGAATTTCTTTGAATAATACGTAAATGAGCGTTAGTGGGTACGTGGGATAATTGATCTGCACACAAGCCCTGGCCGTCATACCAGAACATATTTTTTCAGGTTTTCTGCTCATTGAAATCGTTAAAACCGAGCAAATCGCAACTGTCCATTATGGATGCATCTCGGTTTCTGTGCGGGCGCTGCCATACGACCTTAAAGAACTTAAACAAATATCAGTTTATAAAACTGGCATAATAAAAATAATTTTGGTATTTTCTGTCGCTCTATATGACAGGTAAACTGTTCTTGCTTTTGGTTGAGTCGAGAATTGTAGCTCAGGACTAAGGACCATCCCATTACCCTATACTTTCAAACAACACCTCACGGGCGTGTGTCTGTAACGTTAATAGTGGAACCTGCACTTGTTCCTTGCTCTTAGTATTGTCTCAGCAGTGTTATCATTATGGCAGTAGATGGGAATTTACGACATGAAAACTTGCACTATGCACTGTGTGTGTGTGTGTGTGTGTGTGTGTGTGTGTGTGTGTGTGTGTTTCTGTCTGTGTTTATTAAAATTATGTAACTTGGGGATAGTTGTTTGCACTTCTGTTCCAGTCATTATTACATAACAGGAGCCATACTGAACCAGAACTTTTTTTTATAATATAGATTACCAGTGTAAATAACCTCAGCCCTCAAACATTCACAAAGAGTTACGTACAAAACATAAAACAAAATTATCAGTTTGTTGCAAAGGATTTGACCAGATGCGTTTGAAAGTTACTTCATTCAGACATCAAAGTTGAAAATTATACATGGCTGATTTCTCAAAATGATGTCATTGTGGTTTGGTTCTGCTTCATGGCTAGGCTACCCCCACCGCCCTACGTTAGTTCAAGGGCAATACACATTTCATGCGCTTTAAATCTTTCAAAAAGCAATGACATGGATGTTACGTGGAACTCTGCCTCATACTTATATGTAAACAGATTGTCGAACACTGGAAACAATTAATGAAAACCGCGACCTATAAATCATTTCGATGAATGTATTTGGGACGGGAGGTCTTATATTGAATATATTGTCTGTAATCAGGGAGAACGGGGGCTGGGACGATTATAGATTTCCGCACAGTGAATTCGAGTGTCTTAAACTGGGTCACCAGTGTCCTCTCCATTCCATATAATAGACTGGATGATCGAGGATGGGATGGATGGCATGGGCGGATACAGCTTTTTTTTAAAGTGGGGTGTGTGTGCACAATTAAGATCTATTTATTGTCTTTGGTGGTAATTTATACAGAAATAAAGATTTTATTTATAAACCGGGGTAACCGTTACCCGAGAGCCCCAACTGCTAGTTCGACAAGAGTTGTCTACCCTTAATACCAACGCATGTGACATACCCTGGACTCATTCTGAAGAAAGAATGGTTCTGTTTAGGGCTGGCACGAGTCCAAATTTACTACCCGGGTACCCACCCCCCTATTACCCGACCCTACCCGGATACCCGGTATAGGTCTCATAAGGTAGGTACAAACTGTCCGATTGAGAAAAGTTTGACCGTAGCTCTGGTAAAATGTGTTTAGATAACATATAAAACGATCTGGTGTATACACTGAAGTTTACTGAAGTTTTATTTTTATTCAAAGTCAGAAGGAATGGGCGTAGCTGTCAGAAAAAAACTGCGAACATAAGTGATAGTGTAACCATATAGTTCTAGATAATTTTTGTCTTTAAAAAAAATATATCACGTGACTAACCACGGGTACTACTCATTACCCACCCGACCCGAGTACCCGAGTTACCCGTCCCAGCCCTAGTTCTGTTAAATATTTAAAAGGTTGTTTTATGAAAGAACCCAGTTAATGAAAAGACGTGTCAAAAACGCTTTTCTGCATTCAATTTATTCAATAGGATTAGCATACACAATGCTGAGACAGTATTTAGTGAACCTTATATTCTTGTATGCTCCTCCTGTCAAAGAAGCCGTTTCCATTGACGTCGGCACAGTGTCCTTTTTCGCTGTCTCCGTCATGATGCTAATGATGCTGTTGCCATAAGCTGCTTAAGAGTTTCAGATGTCTTTCATCTCACACTACAATGGGATGGATCACCATTTGCTCTGAATAATGCGACAACAGTCTTCATGCTCTCAGTGAATTATACAAAAGAAAATAATAAATATTGATACAAATTTATTCATAAAAAATATTGCTATACATCAAGTAGTAAAAAATTAGACTTGTATGTAACATATTTACATAATATTGCTAATCACTTGCGGAATCTAGAGCTGAAAGATATCTACATGATATTGAACCCCAGGAGCAACCATGGCAACAAGACAGCTTGAAGTACCTGTGTGAAATACTAACAAGACCAGACACAACCCATTAAAACACTTTTTTACACATTAGCCTGTCATTTGTCAGTGATTTTAAAAACAAACAGGATTTAATTTTTTCTCTGCTTGACTGAAAGTATTTTTTATATAACCACCAGTGAAAAAAGTAATTTTTCATCAACAAAGTCAAAGTCACACTGACATACAGCTGACTGGGAGGCAGTGATGGTGAAGGGGATGCTGGAATAGGGGGTCAGCACCACCCCGTTACCAAGGTAACAGAGGGGCAGACACCCGGAAAGAACATGTGACTCTGCCTCGTCCGTGCAAAACCTGCCAAATGTCATTTCTCTTTTAAACCCAAAACACAAAAAACTTGAAGGTAGAACACTTGTTTCATCTTAACAAAACAATTTATTGACCCCTGCACCAGTATTAAAATAAAATTCTCAAGAATTCTTTAGCTTACTGGCCAGCTTCTCTGTAGCAGGTTCTGTTCCCTTAACGCATGGGTGATCACCATGGGGACAATAGATACAAGGACGTACACCTGCTATGTTATGAACAAGTGAGGTCTACATAGAACAATATCTGTTTAGCATAAGCCTGGCAATGATTCTTACAAAGCATGTTTATTGAATCAGATCATTTACCTTACCGAAGTTAAAAACCCCACCTCCTCTTTACAAGTGTTTGCCCCACCATCCACTAACAAACCACACGGTAGTACACTTTTCTAGTTCTACTGCTGAGATGAAGCAGGGCAAATAGATCCCATCTTCAGTACACACCACCGGGACACTTGCTGGCATTGATTGTTTTACTTATTACAAACCAATATAGGTCAGTTTGTAGATTTAACTAAATATTTCTAAATTAGACAGTAACACTAATACATGTGATTACAACAAAGCCATTTCATACACTCTGTCTTTGTAGGTACATGATGGTTGAAACCTGGAATTGGACTTTTTAATATTTTTTTACCAATATCTGGGGCAATCAACTAAGAATGGGAATCTGATTAATGTGAGATTACGGAAACGTCACCTGTTTCTAAGGATGGGAGGAGAGCATACGACAAGCCTGCATGTGCTGCTTCACTAATATTACTTAAACATCTGCGATAAAAACATGTTGACATTAGTCTGGTGAAGTTGACATTTACCATGTCATAGAAATGTGTTTCTCTTTCATTTACAGAAACTGTAGGAATCTAGACATGCCGAATTATTTAGACTTGCTTTGAAGTTTTGGGATATTTTTGTTCATTATGGATGAGTGATGGTAATTACAAGAGCGAATTGTTGCTTCATGATGGAATAAAATGATATGATATAAGAGATAGCTGCCGAGGAGGGATCCATTGAAAAATGGCATTTATGAAAATGTTATTTTCCTATAGTTTCTGTGACAATGGCTCCAGGAGAGCTCCAGAGTTTTCAGGTGCTGGCTCCCTCGAGGTTCATCTCACTGCATAAACACAAAATCATTTTCTAGTTCCCTTTCAATTTACATCAACCTCGAACTATGTAAGTTGACTGAAACTGCAGCAATAATTCACAAGTAAACAAACAATTTTCCGGACAAATATGTGTGGTCACTCTTATCATGTGATCACAGATAGCTGAGAAATATTCACAATATACACTGTCACTAAGTCACAGCATCTACTGATCAGTCAGCACCCTCCCAGCTGGGCCCAAGGCCAATCACACCTATGTACAGGTAATGGGTATATACAGTGAGTCAGGAAGCTATGTACAACTTCTCACACAGGGATGTAAAAGATGATGGTCATGATTTGAGATGAGGATTTCAAACTTATCTCCCTTGTCAGAAAATGAAGGTAAGATGTCTGATTATCTCCCTTGTTCACCTATTTGAGATAAAGATGTGATGAACTGTCATTGTGATTTCCATGTTCTTGCATATATTTAAATGATCATAAGTATTAAATGAACAAAACACTGATCAAAATGCTAATTCAGCAAAAAGTTCATAAACTTGTTTTGAAGCCTGATTGGCTATTTCAGAAATAATATCATCAGTCTTATTACTTCAGGATTATAAAAAGTAGTTCAAGATCAAAGTTATTCATGAATCACAATAGTCGATGCAGCAACCAGCCTACTAGGACGACCCCGAGTGATGTCACCGTCATCTGACTGGCAGCGTTACAGTTGTCGGCAGAGCAGGTGTTGACACAGGCGCGGTACATGCGGTCGTGGTCAGGGTACCAAATGTCCTGACATTGGTAGCCCAAGTCTCTGGAACTGCAGAACCGATGAGTGCCAACAATACCTGTGGAATACAGGGTCAATTATTACACAAATACTAAAGTCACAACGGCAGAGACATATTGCCATCTTAGACATCACATGGTGCTCTGTTTGTGTGTCATCTGAAGATTAACAACAATATCTTTGTCTTCAATTACATGTTACTCTCCCTCACACTTATCTGTATGCAACAGTGGCATAACTTCTGAACATAAAGAGACCCTGTCCTGCTGGTACCAACTTCCCCAGAACCCTGTCAATATCATCTATATCACCATACACTTCCCCAGAACCCTGCCAATATCATGTATATCACCACACACTGTCCTGCTGGTACCAACTTCCCCAGAACCTTGTCAATATCATGTATATCACCACACACTTCCCCAGAACCCTGCTGGTACCACCCCCCAGATCCCTGTCAATATCATGTATATCACCACACACCTATCCTGCAGGTACCAACTTCCCAGCATCCTGTCAATATCATGTATATCACAACACACTGTCCTGCTGGTACCAACTTCCCCAGAATCCTGTCAATATCATGTATATCAACACGCACTGTTCTGATGGTACCTCCCCAGAGCCTGGTCTATATCATGTATATCACCACAAACTGTACTGCTGGTACCAACTTCCCCAGAACCCTGTCAATATCATGTATATCACCAAACACTGTCCTGCTGGTGCCCACCTCCCTGGTCTATATCATGTATATCACCACACACTGTTCTGCTGGTACCAACTTCCCCAGAACCCTGTCAATATCATGTATATCAACACGCACTGTTCTGCTGGAACCAACTTCCCCAGATCCCTGTCAATATCATGTATATCACCAAACACTGTCCTGCTGGTACCAACTTCCCCAGAACCCTGTCAATATCATGTATATCACCACACACTGTTCTGCTGGTACCAACTTCCCCAGAACCCTGTCAATATCATGTATATCAACGCACTGTTCTGCTGGTACCAACTTCCCCAGAACCCTGTCAATATCATGTATATCACCACACACTTCCCCAGAACCCTGTTAATATCATGTATATCACCACAAACTGTCCTGCTGGTACCCACCTCCTTGGTCTATATCATGTATATCACCAAACACTGTCCTGCTGGTACCCACCTCCCTGGTCTATATCATGTATATCACCACACACTGTTCTGCTGGTACCAACTTCCCCAGAACCCTGTCAATATCATGTATATCAACACGCACTGTTCTGCTGGTACCAACTTCCCCAGATCCCTGTCAATATCATGTATATCACCATACACTTCCCCAGAACCCTGTCAATATCATGTATATCACCACACACTGTTCTGCTGGTACCACCCCGAGATCCCTGTCAATATCATGTATATCACCAAACACTGTCCTGCTGGTACCACCCCCAGATCCCTGTCAGTATCATGTATATCAACACACACCTATCCTGCTGGTACCACCCCGAGATCCCTGTCAATATCATGTATATCACCACACACTGTCCTGCTGGTACCAACTTCCCCAGATCCCTGTCAATATCATGTATATCACCACACACTGTCCTGCTGGCACCACCCCCAGATCCCTGTCAATATCATGTATATAACCACACACTGTCCTGCTGGTACCAACTTCCCCAGATCCCTGTCAATATCATGTATATAACCACACACTGTCCTGCTGGCACCACCCCCAGATCCCTGTCAATATCATGTATATCACCACACACTGTCCTGCTGGTACCAACTTCCCCAGAACCCTGTCAATATCATGTATATCACCACACACTGTCCTGCTGGTACCCACCTCCCTGGTCTTTATCATGTATATCACCACACACTGTCCTGCTGGTACCCACCTCCCTGGTCTATATCATGTATATCACCACACACTGTTCTGCTGGTACCCACCTCCCTGGTCTATATCATGTATACCACCACACACTGTCCTGCTGGTACCCACCTCCCTGGTCTTTATCATGTATACCACCACACACTGTCCTGCTGGTACCCACCTCCCTGGTCTTTATCATGTATATCACCACACACTGTCCTGCTGGTACCCACCTCCCTGGTCTTTATCATGTATACCACCACACACTGTCCTGCTGGTACCCACCTCCCTGGTCTATATCATGTATACCACCACACACTGTCCTGCTGGTACCCACCTCCCTGGTCTTTATCATGTATATCACCACACACTGTCCTGCTGGTACCCACCTCCCTGGTCTTTATCATGTATATCACCACACACTGTTCTGCTGGTACCCACCTCCCTGGTCTTTATCATGTATACCACCACACACTGTTCTGCTGGTACCCACCTCCCTGGTCTATATCACATATATCACCACTGTCCTGCTTGTACTCACCTCCCCAGAGCCCCGTCACCTTGATACAGAACTTGGCACCCCACATGTTACAGTCCCGCTTCTTGGCTAGAGCCACCGGGCTGTCGTGGTTGAACTTTTCCTGGCAGTTGTGATCGAGGGTGGAGTTGCAGATGTAGCAGCTCAAGGCTGACCCTGCAGAGGAAGCAACTCTGACGTCACATGTTTTATCACTGCTTATAAACATGATCACAGACGTTTATCGTTGTTCATAACATAATTGTTCAACTAATTTTGTGTTATGAGTTCAATCTATATCAAACCATAAATATGGGGTTGTCTAGCTCAATTTTGTCCCACAGCATAATTTTTCAGCAGATCTTAATCTGAACATGTTGACCATGCTGTCATAAAAGCATACTAGCCCTTAGGAATGGCAACACTTCCACGTTCACACATGTGACTAGAGACTCAAGTGGCAAACAGTGTATCCAACTTATAGTGTCTCAACAGGGACTTATCATCCATATGTTGTCCTGCTCAGAGGCCCATATCATAGACCTATATAACTATATAGGTCTGTGCCCATTTTAAGCCCCATGTCCACAGCACCATGTCAGTAAAAACTGTTAACTTATAAAAAATGTTTAAGTTTATGTTAATATAGTTACGACTGATGTGATTGCGTTGTAGAGGTGACTTGGGCCAAGTGGAAGAGACTTTCGTGCTTACTTTTTCATAATGGCAATGCATGCAATGAACTGTAATGTTTGTTTGTTGTTTAATGCTGCACTCAGCAATATTCTAGCTATATGAGGTCGGTTTCTAAATAATCAACTCTGGACCAGACAATCCAGTGATTCACATCATGAGCATCGATCCACGCAATTGGGATACGATGACATGCATCACACCAAGTCAGCGAGCCTAAACCATCTAATCTTGTTAGTTGCCTCTTACGACAAGCACAGTCACCTTTCACGTCAAGCATTGGTTGCTGGAGACCTATTCTAACCCAGATCTTCACGGGTAGAACTTTAATGCATCACATGACATGTATCATCCAAGTCAGTGAGCCTGACCATCTGATCCCCTTACTCGCCTGTTACGACAAGCATAATCGCCTGTTACGACAAGCATGGGTTGCTGAAGACCAACTCTAACCTGGATCTTCATGGGTCTCCAAATTCTGAACGAAATAGCAACTCTTCCCCAATTTACCTGACAAGGATACTTAGGTTGGAATACTGGATGAATCCCTGCTCAAGTTCCCCACAATGTTCCCATTAAACTGAGACCCACTCAGATAAAGGTAGGCAATGCAGTTTGGTAATACTGTTTGGGTCTAATCGTAGAAAAGGTTGAAATTTAACAAGATACTCATCATACAAAAAACCCCAAGCCATTTCCTATCTAGAGACATTCGGTTATCACACAGAAGATCCATGTTCAATTCCCACATGGATACAATGTGTGAAGCTCATTTCTGGTGTCCCCCATCGTGATATTGCTAAAAGTGGTTGTGGTTTAATCCCACACTCTCTCTCGAGACAGCCTTTCCGCTAAGGGTGGCTGCCACCTTAATTTTACTCACTGCAATTAGGATTATATATCGCGATTGTCTTTCTGTACATTTTTCTATTGACATATTTTGACTAAAAAGTCTGAATGATATACGACGAATAGTTGAGTCACTCTAATCTTCTTTAACATGCCAACTTTATGCCCCCGCTTTCAACTAATCGTCACCCCTTTTACGATCTTCTCTAGAGATTAGGGTTCGGTACAACTCACTAGGAGTCGGAACCTATTTTAGTACTTAACGATCATACCAGCGACACCCTCTGCTGTCTTTGTCCAGATTAGTTCTTAAACAGGGAAAAGCGGGCCTAGACAACATCATGAACATATTATATAACAGCATTTAAGTCTAGCGCATGATGAGTTTGTGTGAACGAACTTAACCATAAATTTGAAGTACGCTCCCTTCCGTGTTCTACCTGTCTGTGAACTTACCTGTGCTGATCAAGGAGGACATTACAACGATCGTAACCAGGGCGGTTCCATAGAGGGATATAGACGCCTTCCCCATTTTCACGTGCCAGTTTTGTGTCGGTTATCTATAAATTTTAAACAATACCTATGACCTTATTTCACGAAATATAAACACCTGGAAGTGGAAATGGCCGCTGTTCAGAATACCTGGCGACACCTGGTGACATACCTGAACAGTGACACACCTGAGAAGCTGAAGGGAGGTAACTCAGTCATTCTTGTCCCAAACGCTTTTTTAACGCAATAGTACATGTTGTATTGAGTAGATATTTACAACCAAGGCTACATTCTTTATTTCACGTTTTAACTGATTTTTAAATATCTAACCAGTTCCTTTGGGTCTATGGAAATAAATAGATTTGTGTAGGTTATTATGTTTCTATTTTGTTGAAGTTGTTTGGGGCAGTCGTTCTATTGAAAAAAGAAAATGCAAATTCTCATTTCTCACACAGGGCCCAATTGCACAAAGCATAAGCTTAACGCTATAACTAGCTATACATTTAGTCTATACATTTATGAAGTATGGAAGTTACGATTGTCGTAGCACTAAGATCGCTTTGTGAAACGGGGCCATGAGTGCTTGTTTTTTCACAGTAAGTGTGTGTAGTTATGTGATCTTGACCACAATAGGTTTAACTGTTTTTTTACAAGAGATTTTTAGTCGCCAGTATACTGCATTCGATTAATTATTATTTAAATCGGCGAACATTTAGTTACATCCTCATTCTAGTCAAATAAGCAAAAACATAACCTTAGATACAACAGATCACAATGATATTTCTACAGCGAATCACGTAAACCATAACAGGTGAGGTGAGGTGAAATTGGGTTTTAACGTCGCGTCCAAGATTATTGCACTTATATAGCGACGTGCATGCACGTGTATGTGTGTGTGTAGCTGCTTGTACTAGTCCGGACTGATGCCGATTTATAGTGCTAGCTCACTGAGATACCATGCCGCAGTTTAACATGAATACCCCACTCAGACACAGTATACTGACTCCGAGCCGACCAGTCCTTGTTTTAGACCCTTAATGCCGAGCGCCAGACAAGGTAACAACAAGTACAATCTTTTAACGTCTTTTGGTATGACGCGGCCAGGGATCGAACCCCTTCCGCTCTCCGGGCAGACGCTCTACCACAAGACCACGGAGGCGGTCTAAACCATAGCAGTACACAGTGGAGTAAATATGAGTGGAATGATGATAATCAACGACAGTTTCTAAACAATTCCAAGAACTAAATTTCACAATGTATGAAGGACATATGTCACTGAGTGACGTGGATATAAATAACGCAATAAGGTTAATGACAGAAATGTATCAATCTTTTGCATGTCACACTACAAGGGTACTTCAGTCTAATTATTACGTTATGGCAACAATTAAGCAACCTCCATGGTGTGGTGGGATGAAGAGTGAGAGACTATTAAACAGAGAAAATATGCAGCTTTAAGAGCTCGCCGAGACTATGGAGAGAGCATTGACAACTTCAGAGTTCTAAGTAGATTGTTTAAGACTTTATTCTCTACCAAAACAGAAGATTATTATGAGAAACAAAGGAATGAGGTGGTTATTGCTAGAAACAACCCCAAGTTATTTTAGAAAACTTTTAAGCATGTAGATGTGCCTCAGGAATATCAAATGTTGTTATCCCTGACCAGTGTCTTGAGCATTTTTAAAATCTTCTCAGTATTGAGAAACACACTGACTGCGATTATAACCCTTCTGATAACAGATATACATTATGAGGATCCAGCTTTGTCTAACACAGACATTTGTGATAATCTTAACATGCATTTCACTGATGTGGAAGTCGTGATTAGTTTGCAAAGTTTAAAAAGTAATAAATCTCCAGGGTCTAACGGTATTGTAAGTGAGTTTATGAAATCAACAAGACATTATATTGCACCTAGTTCAACAGAATCCTTCACACTGCAGTTTTTTCTCCAGAGGAGTGGGGAACGACAGACGCCTCCAGTCCCGATGTGACAGTAACAATATCTTAAGTGAAACACAAGCAGGTTTTAGACCAGGATATTCCACCACAGACCAAATATTAACTCCTCCAGCAACTGTACAGAAATACGTCACAAAGACCAAGGGTAGATTTTACTGCATCTTTATTGACTTTTCGAAGACTTTCGATAGGGTAAACCACAACATTCTTTAAAAAAAACTTTTAATCGAGTGGGAATAAATGGGAACTTTCTTCGATTACTAGCATCAATGTACTCTAACCTATCATCATGTGTTTGTATGAAGGATGGTCTTTCTGATCATTTTACCAGTGATGTCGGCACCCGTCAGGGATGTGTTTTGAGCCCAAAACCTTTTATTATCTTTTTAATTGAACTCACAGTAATGTTGGAAACGCATGGTGGTCAAGGCATATTTATCAGTAGTGAGATTCCACATTTATTTGCATTATTATACGCAGACGATGTATCGTCTGTTGTGGACAGTGCTTTATTTCTATAAAAGAAAATAAATGAATTTTGAAAAGCTACGAAAAATGGTACTTCAAAGGAGAAAAAACATGAAGTTGCGATTTTTTAAAAAAATATTTAGGAACAGTTTTCAACCCAGAGTTGTTGTGGAGTAAGACCTTCAGTAGTCTAACAGCTGAAGCAAACAAATGAAACAGATTCATCAACTACTGTCCAAACAAAAATGGATACCTGTTATTTCAAGATGCCTTTCACATATTTGATAGTGTTGTCGTTCCGATCTTATGTTACGGAGCTGAAGATTAGGGAACATCGTACAACAATTAATTGAAAATTTCCAAATATCCTTCTTTAAACGGTATCTTTGTCTCTCTAAGAATACACATAAGAATATGGAACTTGGGGAGTGTGGCAGACTCGCTCTGCAGTGACAAGAGCAGTAAAATACTGGTGCAGACTTCTTCATTTTGAAACTCACAGATTACCTCGTCAAGCCTACGTTATGCTGAAATCACTTGATGGGATGGGAAGAGGGACATGGACTACATCAATTAAAACCATTTTCTTCAGCTTAAGTTTCGGGCTGGTCTGGTTACAACAAAACATTAGTGATATAACATTATTTCATGGGTATCTCTGCCTCTGTCTGCAAGCATAATGTTTACGGGTATGTATATATACTGGTGTATGTGTGTAAATATGAGTATGTGTATGTATATACATGTATGCATGCGTATACAAGGGTATATGTGTATGTATGTAGTGTGTGTATGTGTGCATATATGTACATGTATATAAGTGTATGAATGATTGTGTAATTATATATGTAGTCTTGCATTTATTTTGGATTAATGTGAATATACAAGTAAATTGTGTTTATATAGGCAATTCTTATGTATGTCTATGTTATTCTTGCAAACATTATGTTTATGTTCTTGTGTAAATACCTTTCTCTTTGTTACTATAAATGTAATATGTGCATATGTATATGAGTATGTGTATGTATGTATGAGTATGTATGATTATGTGTATATATGATTATGTGTATATGTATGTATTTCTGTATATGTATGTGTGCATGTATATGTGTATATATATGACTGTATAATCAATGTCTGTACATATAGAGTAGGGAAAGGGCCACCTAAGTTGGATAACTTTTGCCAAATCCCGTTGACCATATATGTCAATATAATATGTTTAAAACAAACGAACAAACAAACAACATTATTTCTAAATGAATTTCAGCAAAAGTATCAGTTAACCTGTAACACAACTGTCATTCTTCAATGGAATTATCTTCGAAATATAATTACTATGCTCAGTACAAATATATATATATAAATATATATAAATATATATATATATATATATATGTGTGTGTGTGTGTGTGTGTGTGTGTGTGTGTGTGTGTGTGTGTGTGTGTGTGTGTACACACCTTTTTGTCGTGAATGAAATTTATATACACTGTGTATGTGTGTGTGTATACGTCACTGCATTGTGCTAGACCGAGTGACGTCACTCAATTGTGCTAGACCGAGTGACGTCACTGCATTATGTTCGACTGAGTCATGTCACTGCATTGTGCTAGACCGAGTGACGTCACTGCATTATGTTCGACCTAGTCATGTCACTGCATTGTGCTAGACCGAGTCACGTCACTGCATTGTGCTAGACCAAGTGACGTCACTGCATTGTGCTAGATCGAGTCACGTCACTGCATTGTGCTAGACCGAGTGACGTCAGTGCATTGTGCTAGATCGAGTCACGTCACTGCATTGTGCTAGATCGAGTCACGTCACTGCATTGTGCTAGACCGAGTGACGTCAGTGCATTATGCTAGACCGAGTCACGTCACTGCATTATGATCGACTGTGTCACGTCACTTCATTGTGTTCGTCTGTCTGATATCACTGTGCAGTACTCGGATGTGTCACGTAAACTGTATTGTGCCGGAGTGTTTCATGACTCCGTGTGTGTGCTTGCGTCGTTCACTACATTCTGGGGATTTGTGTCACCAAACATTGTGCTAAAAATAGGCAACTATAAAGATAGAAAACCATATCGCGCGGAATAAAATAGACACAAATTCTCTCCTCTATACAGTCTAACATGTATCTAACAACACGGTTTGGTTTGGTTTGTTTGTTGTTTAACGCCGCACTCAGCAATATTCCATCTATATGACGGCGATCTGTAAATGATAGAGTCTGGCAAGACAATCCAGTGATTGACATCATGAGCATCGATCCACGCAACTTGGATCGATGACATGCATCAACCAAGTCAGCGAGCCTGACCACCCGATCCCGTTAGTCGCCTTGTACGACAAGCATAGTCACCTTTTACGGCAAGCATGGGCTGCTGAAGACCTATTCTACCCTGGAATCTTCACGGGTCTAACCGACACGGTAAACAATGTAGAGTGCGTCAGGTGTAAAGTCCCTCTTCTGTACTGCGATTCTTTAATGTTACCACTACAATATAACAACGGTAATACATATGGTATTTCAGTGGCACAAGTTTCAAAATAACATTATGAATAAAAAAACACCCCACACATTTGTGTTTAAGTTGTATGGGCATCGTAACTCCGGAATGCTCATGTGAAATACACACCACATTCAAACTCTTCGTACATTGTCAGATTGATTGAGATATCTTGAAGACTCCATACTTCCTAATATACCGCCTATGTGGGCTAGGTGTAATTTCTCGTTTAAGTTCCTACTGTAGTCCTACTGCAGTAAGCAAGCGTTTCCCAAAACCTGAAGTGAGACCATCTTACCATCAATAGAACTGCAGTCCAAATGGGAATAAATTGGAGTATCAATAGGTCAGCTGTCACCTGACTGGCGCCACTTCAAATGATTCATGATACATTTTATGAATCGCTGGGCCAATTTTCACAAAGCGATCTTAGCACTACGACTGTCGTAGGTCTATGTTACAGTACACGTATAGGAGTACGCAGTGCTACGATCGCTCTGTGAACGGGGACCAGTTTCAATGTTGGCGTAGTAAGGACATAACGACACGAAACAGTTTTTATGCTTTATTACTGGTTTATCAATGCTGTGAGATCAAGGCCGTGGTGTCAGGAGGGGAGACAACTCAATTGGGGAAGCGGAAACCTTGGGCCATGCACGAGCATGCGTAGCAGCCACTGGAATCCTTGAGGAGCGGGCAGTTCCGGGGACAGATCATCGGGTTCGGACACACTGAAATATAGGGCACATGTACGTGAGATGTCTGATATCTGAAAATTGAAAATCGCTCTTTTTGATTCACAAGTGATATTGATGTCTGTTTTTCTGTTACATGTTCTGCAGTTTGGCAATCTCATTGATCAAATTGATCTTTTACACTCATATCTCTTCACGCAGAGAAGGTCGTATCGGAGTGAAAGGCCTGGTTTTGACGAGATTGGGAGTGCTGTCACTTTGTTCCCTTTAAAGAAGGACGAGGCCAAGGTGAAATGACCTTCCGAGCACATTTGGTCCATATTCATGTTAAAAACAACTTCTTTCATTAACCAAGTCAAATGTGATGACGTAGTACAATCTAACACTTTATAATGGTTACCGTACACAGAGACAATGTTCCAGTCTGACATGGGCAGGGGCGGGTATAGCTTTTGGGGGAGAGGGGTTGCGGGTTTTCATAGAATGTTGAATGTAGGTAATAAATGGATACCATGAACCCACATGGAACCAAAATGACACCATTTTGAGATATCAATCATTATTTGTTGTAACTTTGATGTCTGAATGAAGTAACTTTCAAACGTATCTGGTCAAATCCTTGGCAACAAACTGATAACCTTTTAAGTTTTGTACATAAAACTTTTTGTGACCCGTGAAGATCTGGGTTAGAATAGGTCTTCAGCAACCCATGCTTGCTGTAAAAGGCGACTATGCTTGTTGTAAGAGGCGACTAACGGGATCGGATGGTCAGGCTTGCTGACTTGGTTGGAGCATGTCATCGTATCCCAATTGCATGGATCGATGCTCATGATGTTAATCACTGGATTGTCTGGTCAAGACTGGATTATTTATACAGACTGCCGTCATATAGCTGGAAAGTTGCTACGGCTTTAAACAACAAACAAACAAACATAACTTTTTGTGAATGTTTGAGAAATATAGAATACTACTAGTAGACCTGCGGCGTTACAAACAAGAAGTCATCCATAAAGTTCACTTAATCAGGTTGTTCCAACTTCTAAGGGAACAACTTCAACATGCTTATCACAGACTTGACAGGACTTGGTCCACTGACCTTCTTGTATCAGTCTACCAGAGCACGTGCACATACTGCAGCCAGACCAGAAGTCGAAGTACGCCTTGCAGTGCGCGCGCATCGGACAATCCACATAACAACCTGAAGATACAAAAACAGGGTTACCATTGACTACATGTGATGCTCCGAGAACGGGTGTTTTGAGAGTGAGTCGATGGGTTAGTGAGTGAGTGAGTGAGTGTGGCATGCTCAAAGTGGCCAACGTCGAATTATCCGTTTGGTGAAACCCACTTAGGACAGACATAGGTTCGTAATTGGAGCGAATCCGGGATTTAAACCCTTGATCAACCGATCACAGTAGGTCGGGTTACGAACTCGGTATAGCGAGATGCGGCCTCTAATACATATGTTAACCCGTGACCTGTCAGGTTAGTCAGAGATTAAGCCATACACAATAATGTAATACATCTTTATAAAAATAAAAAATAAAACTGTGTCTAAGTAATAAATATATTAAGTAATAAAAATATTAAATCTATCTAAGTAAATATAAAATATATCTAAGAAATAAATATGTTACTTAGTTCGATAAACTGGTTTCCTGAAGCCATACACTGGTTTCTTGAAACACGGATATTTTACGTGAAATGAGATGACAATGTAACAATAAATACTTTGGCGCACGTATAAAATATATTTTCGTCCTTCGTTTTCGGATCTCGTATATCACTTATTGCACTTAAATGTACTTCGCAGCATAATAATGATCCCCTAGTACCCATCACACTACCGTGTATCCCCTGTACAGAGAGAGTGCCATATTTGTATACAGTACCTTGAACCCCTGCAGACACCAGCGCCCCGACAACCACCGCCGTGAACAGTGACTTGACGTCCATCTTGCATGAAGACCAGAGACAACTGGGATCTCCGGACGAGCCCTGCCACCGAGTTTTACATCTGGACATGTCGGATTCTTTCGTTACATTACTGACTCCAGGTGAACAGAGCTTATTTCATGACTTACCTGGCTTTATGACTCTCACAACCCTGCATCACTTCAACAACGCCAGGCCTGCATGAGAGGTTTTGTTGCTCACCGACAATAAAACAGCCGTGAAAGGATAATCAAAGCGCGATGATATTGTCACATTTATACTTCTATATGTGTGGTTATAAAACTACTTAATAGTTTTAATTTCAACATCAACAAAACTCCAACTATCTCGCAAGGTGTTTCTTCGAACTGTAATTTACTAATTACCATAACCGTATTTCCTCCATTAGACGCCGTGTCTCCAATACACACCTACTACAAGCAGACGCCGGATCAGACGCCCTGTCCAAAAACATAGAAGCCGTATCTCTATTAGACGCCAGATGTCTGACAGAGGCCGGGTCCATCATTTTGTGAAATTAATACCTTTTACATAAGCATACGGCATGTAATGCTCTATTTGTATGACTCTAGAATTTGGGAATCGGTTAGGTAGTGAGTTGCCACTGTTCCAGCATTAGACAGTATAGACGTCCATGTGAAGAGCTTGCGCGACATAAATAGACACCAGGGTGTCTAACAGAGGAAATACGGTACCAACAAGTCTGTGTCTGGTTGGTTTACGCACTAGTGGGTGGTACTCTGTGCAGGAGACATATTTCTCATGGGATGCTCCTCTCCCTGTGCGACACTCTCCGCACCAGTGGTAACTCCCGTATTTGTAGCCCAGTTTTGTCATCTTTGTTGCTGTGGGAAACTGTTTAATTGTATCCAAGGTTCCCCTGTCCCGTGCAACGTGCTTGCCGCACTATGGATATGCTTAGATATTGCCCTTTTAGCAAATACTGATGTTATTTCACATTCCAAGAGACTTGTATGCTTTCTTCACAAACAAGTCGATTCATCTGACATCAAAATATTGTAGGCACATCGCTGATTACCTGAAATAATAAATCAGGGATTCGGGAAAAGAAGGCAATGCAATTAGGATTTTTTAAGTGTTTTAATCTGTTCAAACTTTCGATGTTATGTACAAAATGGAATAAAGTACGATTTAGCCACATTTTCAAAACCAGGATGTTGTACTGTGTAATGGAGGCATCAATACAGGCCAAAGACTCCATGCAAACACTCACCCTCTGCACAGAACTATAACAATCACAATAACATTAAAAAGTAATAATAACAACAGTATTATTTTATATTAAAATGAATACTTTTAATAGTATCATTATATATTTAGATCTATATTAATCTAAACATTCGGTAATATCCACGTCTATATTCGTTGAATAATCAGACTAAAAATAGTCATACTCGGTGACATTGTTGATCGTATGTCATCGTACACCGACGGCGATGGTTGTTGCTCGTGATATCAATCACTGGATTATCCGACCGCAGTCATACAGCTGGAATACTGATGACTGTGGAATTCAACACATTCTACTTGCTCAAAAAATGCTGAATATTTTAACACACATAGAGCCTAAGAGGTATATGTGCCTGGACATGTTTCTTGAAGTAGCCAGTGAGAAAAAAGTGAAATGAAACACTGAAAAGGTCGTGGTGTGAAGTAGAAATGGTACATTTGCATGCATTGAGTAGATCAGTCTCACCATGGAGCTGTTTAAGATAGTTTCTCTTTCGTAACATAAATAAAAGTGATGTCAGTAAACAATGGCATAGCATCACCGTAGTCAAGAGTGGTCGTTCTTTCACCTATCCCGCTTTTGCAGTGTTAGAAATGCAGACTCTGTATTACGTCGGTTAATTTGAGGCGCTGTAAGGAGTACAACTGTTTCACACAGAGTTATCGTCGGAAACTTCCGGTTCGTTCTTCTCGCCATTTTGTAGAACGTCCATTGAAGGTCAGAGATAGTAGTAGAGGTTTGCTTATTTGTGTACCTAAATAGCAACGAAAAGTGTATTGGATATTTTCACCTGAAGTTATTTGTGGATGTAGTTTTAATTTTTATGTTATAATTTGTCATTTTGGCATCTTCTTCATATTCTCTTATCTGAAAGACGGGAGTCAAAGTCATGAATCCGACATGTGTTGCAGAGAGCAGTGCACGTTTCTAAGGAAATGATTATTTACTCATGCATTAAATGCAAAACTTACACCAGGTCGACTTGTGTTGATGAGTAGAGGCGCGATACATGCTAGAAGGCGTCATTTAACTGACAGCTGCTAGTAAAGCGTTTGTCCGTGATGATCAATGTCAAACGGGTAGATATTACGTACGAGGTTGTTATTTGAGTTTAGGGGGCATTATTGTTTTCATGCATCTGGTTTGAGGCTGTGGTTACGTAAGGCGAGTACACAATTTGGCGAGAGAGTGTAAACTGTTTATTCCCTCTAATATGTCTAATCAGGTGTTATTGAAAGGAAAGAGAAAGGACACCTCCCCTGTCAAACTTTTACCTGTTTGCCTTGCGGAAATGATATTTAATTTCTATTATGTATTTCCGGTCAGTTTTGTCATGTTGGTAGGCAATGCCATCATATAATCTTTCTGTTGCTAAGGGGAGATTTGAGAAAAATTCCTATCAATCTCCACTTGATTCATCCCACCCCACCCCCAAAATGTCGGGGTTACCAATATTCTTCTACTGAACATAGTTTTTCATTTTTCATTTTTTTTTATGATTGAAAGTATTGGCTTGTGCAGTGATTTATGACTATGAATAACCCATTGCTAAAAATAACTGAGATAATGGTGGGGAGTTACCTGCCCTTTAACCATTGTGGTCAGTGACGACCTTGTGAAAAATGGGGAACTTGAACAGACTGCACTAATATAGAATATGAGCGTTTACTTGCTAAGTTTTCATGTTTATTACCTTTTAGTTGTTTTTACACTATGTTTTTTTGTTTCAGGTCAATGTCGAATGCCATCATGTCGGATGAGAAGTATAATCTTTGGACTGCTCCCTTTGATGCTAGGTTCCCCAACCAGAACCAAACTAGGTGGGTATTTGCACGGTCACAGTACTGAGTTTGTAACTCTGACTAGTTGAATTAAAACCTCCCATAGAGGTGCTTTGTGATATGAAGGGGTGTGTTAAAATATGTCTGACAAATCAAAAGCAGTTCAGAATGTAGTTTACCATCATCATGTTCTTCTTTTGGAAACTGACTGTCTCCGTGGTCTAGTGGTAGAGTATCCACCCAGACAGTGGAAGGTTCAGGGTTCGATTCCCAGCTGCGTTATACCAAAAGACGTTAAAAGATGGTACTTGTTTTTACCGTCTGGCGTTTGGCATTAAGAGAGTAAAACAAGGACTGGAGGACTAGGAGTCAGTATACTGTGACTGAGTGTGGTATTGATGTTAAACTGCAGCATGGTATCTCAGTAGGATAGCACTATAAAATAGGCATTAGTCTGGACTAGTGCAAGCAGCCACACACACACATGTGCATGTGCGCTTTATAAGTGCAATTATCTTGGATGTGACGTTAAGCCATATTTCACCTCATCTCTTATGGAGACTCGGGCACGGGTAGCCTACTCGTCTAAGGCACCGCAACTTGCTCTTCAGAGTTGTGTACCTTGGGTGCACCAGAAACCTATGATCATGGGTTTGAGTCCCAATTGGCCCGGATTATGTTTGTTGAGTTGATCATATCGAGTTGTCATGTTATGGGGCATGTGTGAGATTGATATCTTTTGTTGTATTAACTTGTAATGAGATTGACATGTGATGTCTTATTGCAGGAATTGCTGGCAAAACTATGTAGATTTCCACCGATGCCACAAGATCAAGGGTGAGGACTATGCACCATGTGACTACTTCAAGAAGGTCTACCAGACAATGTGCCCTTCTAGATGGGTAAGATTCATCATGTCTTTCAAGCGCCTTTTGGAAGCCACAACACGTTGTGTTCCAATGTAGTTCTGCTGCAAGACCCCATGGGGATTAGAATCCCACAAACCTATGCTTGTTAAAAGAGGTGACTTAATGGATCAGCTGGTCAGACTAGGTTGATTGCATATCATTGTACCTTGACCACATGGATCGTTGATCATAATATCAATCATTGGATCACTAGAAAGGCCCAGACTTGATTATTTACAGGAAGCCATTGGAAAGCTAGAATATTGCTGAGTGCAGCTTAAACAACAAACACTATTTGTTGCAAAGGGTGCAAAAAAATATTGGTGTGATGGATAGGTGTGTATTCATTTACTCATTCATTAGTAGTCACCAGATCTTTTAAAATATGCTATGGATTGAGAATTGTGAAATTGATTATTGTTATCTGTAAATATGCACAGGGGAGACTCTTCCGCATATACACAAATTTTTGTGACTACAAATTTGTCAAAAACCAGATGGCTTCCCCCATAAAGCTCCACTGCAAAGAAGTTTCACCTGAAAAGGAAATTATTTTTATCCCTGTATACAGAGATATATTCCAACCTGAAACTAATGATTTAAGAACAAGGTTTGTAAGGATTTGAAAGACAATTTGGATGTTCTAAAAAAAGCATTGGTTTTATCATTATGATTATGGCAGTCAAAATTCACAGGGATGCAAATCTTTATTCTTGTATATAATCTATAGCCAGGAAAACTGTTACTACTGATTCACAAGCAAGTATGTTGTGTCAATGAAACATTTTTAAACGTTACGTTCAGAACATAACCTTGAATTTACCTTTGTTACCTGCTCCATTTATGTTTGTGAACAGTTTTTGAGAAAATATCCAAAATGTCCGCCTTTCAGAATAATGCCTGATTAAATCAGCTATTGACTGATACCTTCTTTTGTGGGGATTTTGGGCAGGTACGTCCCAAGTACTTTCTTGTGGAAAGAGTCGACTACTGAGCATAAGTAACTACTGGTGTGTCTGGCCCAGAACACCTTGTTTTTGTTTTTTTAACACTGCACTCAGCTATATGACAGCAGTCTGTAAATAATTGAGTATGGACCAGACAATCCAATAATTGACATCATAAGCATTGGTCTATGCAATTTGGATACAATGACAATTGACATGCATCAACTGAGTCAGCGAGTCTGACCACCTGTTAGGCGCATCTTACGACAAGCATGGGTTGCTGAAGAGTCAGAAGACCAATTCTAACCTTGATCTTCACGGGTCCCCACGCCGCCATGATGCATCTGGACCATTGATAACTGCAATGTAAAACCATCTTCCTTCTCATTCACTTCCTTTCACGGGAATAGGACTGATTCTGGAGTAGCAGTGCCATATTTGGTCTGAAGGTCATGTTATGTTCAAATTGGAAGCAGTTGTGTAGTTTGAGTAGTAAGGTCAAATTTCTTTGTAAAACATTTTTGGATACAGAATGATGCATGATTTGTGACCTTATTAATGTGATGGGGGTTTTGGAATACTTAAAAGTTAACTTCTATTTTTGTTTCAGACTGACAAGTGGGATGACCAGAGAGCTAATGGTTCGTTCGCAGGCAAGATTTAACCAAGGGAACATCTAGGTCAATACCCCATCATTGTGTGTACACACACAAGCGTTTCCAGCTGTTTAAGAAGCTAATGTTGTTCAGGATATGTGGATATGAATGTCATAGTGTGTTGAGAGATATTTAAATAACAAAATATTTTAGTTCTTATCTGGCCACTGGAATTCTTGATACAGGCCATCACGTGACATCAATTGTGTATATGGATGGTGTCAATAAAAAATTTCCAGTGTATTCAGTGTTCTGTCTTGTATGAATATGTTAAACAGGGACAAATAATACTTGTGCACCTAGTATTAAGTAATGACAGAAATAGACAAACTGGATGTTTGCTGCCCAATGCTGGTTTTATTATTTACAAAGTTGGCATTGAAAACCTTTGAGAGATGACCTCGTTCTGACATGAAAGAACAAGAATAGTAAGTATTTCACTGGGTAGTTTACAGACGTTTTACAGTCTCCAACAGTAGTTGTCCAAAATTCTCTCTAAAGAAATGCTCTCATACTGTGAACGGCAGCCATATTGAAAAAGCTATTTCAGTCATTTTAGTGTTATGTGTTTAGTCAGTTGTTGGCGTCAACACACACACACACAGTCTGTTATTTTTACATTTTCTATCTATTTGCCTTGTTCAGACCATGCTCTTCTGTTCTCTCAAATTGCATGTTTGCCTCTGTAAACTACTTGACAGACTGAGGGAGCTCTTTTAGGCCTATCTGTGTTGGACATATTTGAATGTCAACGCTATCAGAACTTTTGTTCAGAGGCTGTTTTCACTACATATCCAAGTGAGCTACAGTGCCAATATTTTTCTGTGATAAATCCTGGTCTTATTTTAAATGAAATTGGTCCAATATAAAAGTTATGTATGCATTATTTGTGAAGCTCGTTGCGTCAGTCCTACAGATTAGTATCGTGTATGCATTATTTTTATGAACAATGACCTTTATGGGTTTGCAATAGAATATAAATAATTATAGCTAAAATGGATAGAATTATCATTAAACCGCCTGCATGTTATGACAAATGAGCGGGCCATTGTAACTTGATAATGCCCTCATATTGCTTGATGGGCCATTATCACGCCCGTTGTTAGGTGACGTCATAGGATAGGGATAGGTGACATCATCTGGTTTGTTCTATGACGTTTCCATATTTGTAAAAGTGGGTCAGTGATATTCGTGTTGATTGCAGTAAATGTTTCAAAACTGATATTGTTGTTTCTTTTTATTTGATAACAAATTCCACCCATCCATCCTTCGTCGGGCAGTTAATGGAAGACCTCGGGCTTCTGCAAATGATAATGCCCTGAAAAATAGCGTTACGCATATATTAGTGCTTTTTGGTGTTCATTTTTTACGACTTTCATTTTTAGTGCCGATGGATCTGTCTACTTTTAGAATAAGAATCGTACAAACCTTGTTCTGTTATCACATGTTCATCTTCGTCTCTCGCATTTGATTGACATAATTATCTAACTGACCACAAGCGTTACATAACTGAATTATTTGTCTAAATAACAAGAGTAAACACATTCAGCTCATGTCCTGATCATCTGATTGCAGAGTGACGTCACATGAAGGGGACTCTATCTATGCATATTGTCACCTGTGATGAAAACCATTTTAATATTTCTGTAATGACTTCCTTGCAAAGTTTTAACAAGCGTATAGTTGACAAAGTCATCTATATCCCCTGCCCATTTTAACACGTTATGGTCCAAAACCAAGTAAATGACCCAACATTTATCTTAGCCCATGTCAAAATAGCTGCAATGGAAATTCTAAAATAAACATTTCTAAAACTCCTTAATATCAAATGGCACTAGTTAAGTATGCGCTTTATATATAGACATGCAATGTTTGGCAAGGAAATATTCAACAGTTTATTTGTTATACTACTTAAGTAAACCAATCCTATATTAAAACTTAAATCCAACTTGTCATGGAAACATAAACAATAAAAATTTCTAAAAGTGCTATATATCAAAAGGCACCAGTTCAGTATGTGCCTGGTAGACATGCAAAGTTTTGTAAGAAAGTATTTAACGTTTTTTGAGTTCCCTGTAGAACCTAAGTCCAACTTATTGCCATTGAAACGTGAAAAATAAAATTTTCTAAAATTCCTAAATAGCAGAAGGCACCAGTCCAGTATGTGTCTGGTAAACATGCACAGTTTTTGTTGGAAAGTATTGAATGGGTTAAGAGTTATGCTCCGGAAACAAACTCTACCCTATAGAACCTAAGTCCAACTTGTTGCAATGGAAATGAAAAAAATTAAAATTTATAAAATTCCTAAATAGCAAAAGGCACCAGTTCAGTATGTGCCTAGTAGACATGCAAAGTTTTGTAAGAAAGTATTTAATGGTTTTTGAGTTACACTCCGGAAACGAACACCACCCTTATAGAACCTAAGTCCAACTTGTTGCCATGGAAACGTAAAAAATAAAAATTTATAAAACTCCTAAATAGCAAAAGGCACCAGTTCAGCATGAGTCTGATAGACATGCAAATTTTCGTAGAGAAATATTTAACGGTTTTTGAGTTATGCTCCGGAAACGATTTAGGCACGCACACGCACACACACACACACACACACATGCACGGACGGAACCCATTTCTATATCCCCCGCCAACTTCGTTGAGGCGGGGGATAAAAAATAATACAAATATTGATGTAGTTGCAAGTCACTGTGACAAAAACATGTACACTTGTCTCACTCAGTGGTTGATAACAAAGTCATGCTGACGGAAAGGATAACTTGAAACACGGTCAATCATAACAAGACAATGTCAGTGTCCAAATTAAGGAAGAAAGCCTGTCCTGTGGACTGTGACATGTCCTATTCATTATTATTATTAGATTAATAATCGGTTGGATGTGACCTGTAGCGAGGTCAATATAATTTCTAAATTGCAACTGGCATGATTTTATCACAAAGTTCATGTGTGTAACTTATTCATATTGGTGGAATATGGTTCAATCTGAGAGTGAAATCGAGTCGCATGATTAATTGACCGGGGTAATTGTAGATTTGGTGCATTATAAATGCACATATTAATATTACATGTATTTTTATCATTACGTCTACATCTGGCCCAGACTCGATTATTTACAGACCACCGTCACATAGCTGGAATATTGCTGAGTGCGGCATTAAACAAACAAACAAACATTAGGTCTATATCGTTATGGTTGGTATCTGCATTATATTCCTCACGTACTGTTGTGTAGGCTTGTGCATCCCCTCATCTGGGAGGAAGTGCACTGATTTCTGCCATGACTATTTCACTATCAAAATAACAGAAGACAATGTGAGAGGTAGAGTTTATTCCTCACTGACATCCTCCTGGAGAGGTAATAATAACAAGACATGTATGCTTCATGTAAATGGAATGGAATTCTGACATACAAGCAAAGACAGAAAATATATTTTGTGATCAATCGCCCAACAGACACATGTGAAGAAACAAGTATTTAATGTTAAAATCATGGACAGAAACAGCTCCACAACGGACAAAGTGATTGTAAATGATCTCTTATAAAAAGTAAACAGATTGACATGGATGGACATTCAATTAAGAGATATATAATTCACTTAATGAGCTCCTTCAATTATCCAGTGTATTACGTCGCCATTGTGATAAATATCCTGGATCCAGAGACCCAAGATTCGTTTTTCCATCTGATATGAAGGAAACTCTTAAAACTGTCAAACATTATTACAGCCATGTACAAGAGAGGTTCTCAGGGACCACAATGACATAATATTAAAGACATTCTTTTCCATAAAGTGTATCTACTTTGTAGGGCTGGGACGGGTAACTCTGGTCCTTGGGTCGGGTGGGTACTGAGTAGGACCCGGGTATCCACACAGCTACCTGGACCCAGGGCTGGTCACGTGATATATTGTTGAATGACAAAAAGTCTCTAAAACTCTATGGTTACACTATAAGTCATTAATGTTTGCATTTGTTTCTGACTATGCATCCATTCCTTCTGACTTTTATATGCTTGTATAAAGATAAAACTTCAGTCAACTTCAGTGTATGCATGACCAGTTTGTTTTATATGTGTATCTGAATACATTTTCCCTAGGGCTACGGTCAAATCTTTAGAAACCTACAGCGGGTACCAGGGTAGGGTTGGCTAATAGGGGGGTGGGTACCCGGGTAGTAAATTTGGACTCGTCCCAGCCCTACTATTTTGACACTAACATGTGGATAAGAGATAAGGTTATGGACTAATGGCAACTTCTCAAGGATGTTTGTCAGATTGTTCCTTAAGTTCTCCATAGAGTTTTCCTTTTTTTAAGAACATGATTTATGTTTTTCTAAACAACATTAAACCTTTTGTATGGCAAAGATTCTCTCTCCCCTCTCTCCCCCAGTTCCTAATGCCACAATCATCAAGTAAAGTGAACTAATCCCTGTCAACAATGTGACAACAAAATGCTGCACGTGAAGAATGGATGAATATCTCCATGGACGGAAACGAGATCAGCTGAGAATTTGCGGTCTAAAACAGACCTTCAATTGTGACCCAACAAGCTTGACAGGACGGCAGGTACCATGAAAACAATAAGCTGTAAACAGTAAAAAATATTGCTTCTATTTCTAAACTTATAAGGCATGTGGTGACTGACCTCACAAGGTGTCCCTGCCAGGAGTGCATCCCAACAGCTGGGTGTCACGAAGCGATTCTTGTCTCACACTTCAGGCTTGTATTATTAATTTCTAGTTCTTAATGGCAAGGGCAGTTAGCTCTAATGCCATTCACATGTATAATATATTTTCATATGACCAGTGAACCAAAACTTGGATTCTGTGTTCAAGACGAATGAAAGATTAAACCTTGCATCACTTCGTGTTTGCTTAAACCTAAGGTGTGAAACAAAAGTCTTTATTTTTGTTTTATTTTATGACACATCCTACCTTAGTCTCAAGCAGCAGTGCAAATGCATGAATATCATGTCTACTTATGATGGTAAAAATTCAACAGATCTGATCATCACAGAATCATAACAATGCAGGATATTACTGATATTTTTGACAGTTGAGAAAAATATACATCAGAATACTTGAATAAACGGGTCAACAAACTTTCTACTCTTCAACTCAAACCAAGATGCTATATTCTATCCTGCATCAACATTTCTTGGTAGTCAGACTGGTGTGTCTACAGAGTTCAGTCTCGTACAACCACTGTAGCCCTTTTAACAAACTAATCAAGGACACATGGTATGGTTGTGAAGATGTTAAGCTGACCTTTCTATCAGACTTCCATCCCCAGGTGTTCTACAACTCACAAATTATGACTTTTATTCTTGAAATCTAAATGTTAAGACAAATCGTTTAATTCAATTGAACCCAATATATTCACAGATCTCTTACTTCAACAAACACCTCTGCATATTTTCTTTACCCAACACATTTTGCCTGTTACACTTGAAGGGCGTTTCTGGCAGGTGCTTGCTGCATCGAACACATTACATCAGGATGAACATTATCACAGAAACAGCCTTCACAACAATTTAAGGAACTTATTTAAAACATTTGTCATTTGATTACTACAACCGTGTTCATCCAGTTGATAACAATGTCACATTAAATTATGCACAACTATACACGAGCCTGTACAGATTGATAGGGTGCCAGACATATACAGCAGGCACAAAGGCAACACATGGCGGGCAGGGAGCGAGGTGGAGCCATTGTCAGCCAGCACCACAGAGTCTCATCTCCGCTTCAACGGCACACTTGTCTTGGGACGGAGAGCTAGAAACAAAACATGATGAAGGAAAATGAAGTTATCTTGTAGGAACATTTCGACAACAGTTGGGTTGTGAACATCCGGACCATGTTCCACAAAGCGATCTTAGATCTCTGACTTTTGTTAGCCTATGTATTGGAGTTACTAAAACCTTAGTGCTAAGATTGTTTTGTGGGATGGGCCCCTGGATGAATTGTAGTTCAAAGTAAGGTGTGAAACAGCTTCCCGAGGCAAGAGAGTTAACTGACTATAAAAGTCCAGTTTCCACCCTTGCCGAGCTAGGCTGGTATTATGGAGTTACATTTTGGCTGCACTAATGAGTCTATGCATAGTCCAATCAAAATCTCGCAATGAAATCGAAATTCGGTTCGTAAACTGTCGTGCAGATTTCAGTCGATTGCGGATTTGCAAAACATGTGCACCGCCAACTCGTTGTCAACAGATATTTTCCAAACCTTTTCATGTTTTAATCAAGGTGCTCGCGTGATTTGATGCACTTCGTAATGTAAGATTTGTTTTATCACAATGTAGATCTTGATTATTGATCAGATCGTCTTGACTGGGTGCCGCCATTTTGTTTGAAACAAATGCAAGTGATGGAATTGGATTGGTCCATAGGAGAGGCTCAGAAGGGACATAACTCATAATAACCATTGGTGGTGCTACGATCGAGCCCATGAATTCCAGCCTACTTCGGCAAGGGTGGAAACTGGACTTTTAAAGTCAGTTAACTCTCTTGCCTCGGGAAGATGGGTGTGAAAGTCCAGTGTCCTTGTCACAGCTCTGATGTTGCCCGGCTAAAGGTAAAGATTTAGGGGTCCCCAGATTAAAATACTATAGCAACAGACCTCGTGGAACCATGAACCACCCTTCATTTCAAATACAAGTTAGTGATTTGCTTTGATAATCTCTCAGCAATAAGACAGCAATGACAGGCCGCCCACCAACAACAGGATTCACACATTGTGGAACTAGCAGACTGTCCTGGAGAGCCCACTAGGCTGACCCTTGTGAAACTCACTAGCTTTCAGTAGATGGAAATAGGGCGACTCCAGAGTGAAGATACACTCCATAGTTTAGTGAAAAGAGATGCACGGTATGATGATATCATTGACACGCCGCCCAGTACATCTGAACCTTGGGATCGCAGGGTTGGGTTTCGAGAAGGGTTAACATGTCTTTCATCAAACAAAAACAAATCTGCAGCGGATTTATTGGTCATAAATAACAACACTAATCATGTAGGTAGGTAGGTATAAAAATGAGTTCAGTGTAAAAGCAATAAACTTGACTGACATAAAAGCTTTGCTGAACAAATAACTTCATGAATCACCGAGGTTTAGGATTTGCTTCATAAAACTATGTCTTTTTGAGGCTCTTCACGATTACATTATTTGTGGGGTGGAGGAGAACATCTTAAAACTTCTCTTCCTTTGAACACTTGAACCGCTCCCCAACCTTGCCCTGTGGACAGACACTAATTACCCTAGATGACAGGCGCTGACTTACCTTGGTTGACGGGTTTTCCAGTCTGGGCTGACTTGGGGTTGGTGTACTTGCTGACGATCTGCTTGTCGTTGAGCAGCTGGATGTCCTGGTCCTCTGTCTGGTTGCTGCAACACAAACCCGGTGTATAGTAGCTTTAGCTCGTCAGATACCACAAGTATTCACTCGTTTCATAAATTGGTATTACACGGGAGCTTGTTTAGTATTCTATATGTATCAGTCTATGCAAACAGCTCGTATAAGTCACAGGGCAAACAGCTCGTATCAGTCACAGGGCAAACAGATTGTATCAGTCAGGGCAAACAGCTCGTATCAGTCACAGGGCAAACAGCTTGTATCAGTCAGGGCAAACAGCTCGTATCAGTCACAGGGCAAACAGCTTGTATCAGTCAGGGCAAACAGCTCGTATCAGTCACAGGGCAAACAGCTTGTATCAGTCAGGGCAAACAGCTCGTATCAGACAGGGCAAACAGCTCGTATCAGTCAGGACAAACAGCTCCTGTGGCACTCCAATCCTACAAGTGCCACAAACCAGACCTCCCTGGATGCTGCTGCAGACTCACCTGATGACCGTGTTCTTCTCTCTCCTGAGTATTTCCTTGTTGTCTGTGAAGAGCACTGTGTGGTACTGCTGGGAGCCCTGGCAGTGGGGCAGGATGCCGCGGGCGCCCGTGGTCACCGCCTGAAGGCGCCCATTGTACACCAGTAGGTCGTCCACCAGAAGCTGTCACCAAGGAGGAAGAAGGGAGGGGTTATTGCAAGTCTCTTTCAGGGAGAAATCATTGTCAGCCGTGTACTTAGAATCTTTTGGATAGGTCACATTTAAAGAAAATGTTCCTTTTATCCAGCTACAATGTGTTTCTATCTGGAAGATTGTAATATATTCTGATTGAGTGTCAAACAATGTTTTTTTACTTGCTATGTTCTGTGATCACATGACGTACACACAACTCACCGCAAAGTCCTTCACCCCTCTGTTGGGTGTCTTGCTGTAGTTCCATAGCTTGATCATAGAGATGGTGGTGGGCTGGTCAAATATGATGTAGACACGGTTCACCTGGAGAAGGCAATGGCGTCATGTCAGTGTGTCACTATAGAAAGGACATCTGGATGTCTGGAAATTCTTTTTTAATTGATTGCATTCTCCTCTCAGAGAAACATAGTATTCTTGAAGCAGTAACCAAACACCCAAAATCCCAGCTCCCGCTCCACCACTCTCACTGCTCATCAACTAAGGGGTGGTTGGGTAGCCAAGTGGTTAAAGCGTTCGCTCATCATGCCGAAGACACAGGTTCAATTCCCGACATGGGTACAATGTGTGAAGCTCATTTCTGGTGTTGCTGTGATATTGCTGGAAAATTGCTAAAAGGGCATAAAACCATACTCACTCACTCACTCTCATCAAATAAAAATGTCTACAGGGCATGTGGGAATGTCTACTCCAGGGCATGTGGAAAGTGGGTACAATGTGTGAAGCTCATTTCTGGTGTTGCTGTGATATTGCTGGAATATTGCTAAAAGCGGCATAAAACCATACTCACTCACTCTCATCAAATAAAAATGTCTACAGGGCATGTGGGAATGTCTACTTCAGGGCATGTGGGAATGTCTACTCCAGGGCATGTGGTAATGTCTACAGGGCATGTGGGAATGTCTACTCCTGGTCATGTGGGAATGTCTACTCCAGGTCATGTGGGAATGTCTACTACGGGGCATTTTGGAATGTCTACTCCAGGGCATGTGGGAATGTCTACTCTTGGGCATGTGGGAATGTCTACTCCAGGGCATGTGGGAATGTCTACTCCAGGGCATGTGGGAATGTCTACTCTTGGGCATGTGGGAATGTCTACTCCAGGGCATGTGGGAATGTCTACTCCAGGGCATGTGGGAATGTCTACTCCAGGGCATGTGGGAATGTCTACTCCAGGGCATGTGGGAATGTCTACTCCAGGGCATGTGGGAATGTCTACTACGGGGCATGTGGGAATGTCTACTACGGGGCATGTGGGAATGTGTACTCCAGGGCATGTGGAAAGTCTACTTGCTAAAGATTGCATACTAGTCTCTGTTGTCTACTTTTTAGTGAGTGAGTGAGTGAGTGAGTGAGTGAGTGAGTGAGTGAGTGAGTGAGTGAGTGAGTGAGTGATAGAGTGAGTGAGTGAGTGAATGTTGTTTAAACATCACAGTCAGCAATATACCAGCTATTTACACACTCAGGCAAAGTCCGATACAGAATCCCCATGGCGTCTACTCACTATAGAGGGCAACACTGGAGCCAGCCACATGTGCTTCCCATCGGTCGTGTCATTCTTGCCGTCGATCAGCTTATCAGGTGTGCGGACATCATTATGGATGTTGTCAAGGACGTTGCAGCTCTCGGGGAAGGCAGATATATCTGAAGTGAACCATAGTTGTCTCAATGCCAACGGCTTATGCAGAGCACCTTACATTCTGAATATGTAACCTTGCCAACAATGCTACATGATATACAGAACATTATGCTGTACATGTGGCTGACTTACTGTTGTCGGTGAGCTGTATGAGGTTGAAGCAGGAGTCGTACACCTGGAGGCCGTTGAGGCCCACGTAGTACTGGTCTCCCCAGGCGGTGAACAGCTGCAGCTGGTAGATGACTGACTGAGTCAAAGACAACAATGAACTGAGACTGGAAGGGAGAGTTAGGTAGGGGAGGAACAAATCAACATCACCTACCTATCACAGCAAACTGTTCTGCATTCTTCTTTCAGAGGCATAATAGAACCTAAAGGTCCTCATTTAATGAGAGATCGTTATTTGCTCATCCTTATACTTTTACCTATCACCCCTTTCAAGGTCGTCTCACAATCATCAGCCCTAGTGACCAACACCCTTTCAAAGTCGTCTCACATTCATCAACCATAGTGACCAACACCCTTTCAAAGTCGTCTCACATTCATCAACCATAGTGACCAACACCCTTTCAAAGTCGTCTCACATTCATCAACCATAGTGACCAGCACCCTTTCAAAGTCGTCTCACATTCATCAACCATAGTGACCAACGACCTTTCAAGGTCGTCTCACACTCTAAAACCATAGTGACCAACATCCAATGCAGGATGTCACATATAAATCATCCATTACAACAAATGAATCTGATTATAGCATGAACACTTTCTGTTGAAGGATACATCCACAAGGCATCTGCACCACCTCATATGATATACTCGAGTCCACGCCCACCGAGCTGAGGACAAAAACATCATAGAATGAGTGAATGAATACTGCTCACATAAATCATCATAATTATTCAACTTCATCAAAAAGACCAAGACCCCTGTTTAACACCTCATGTGTCCGTTGAACAACACACCAGACACCTGTCTAACACCTCAACACCTAACACGTCTGTTGAGCAATATACCGGACACCTGTCGAAAACTCACCTGGAGGATTGTGGGTAGCTGTTCTGGGGCCTGTGTGTTGTGGAGAGGCTGACCTCCTGGGCAAAGTCAAAGTGACAGTTGCCTGGACCCTTCCTCAATAAGTAGCCCTCGTCAGGAGACACCTGCTTCCCGTTGATCCGGACATGCATCACTTTGGCCTGATGATAGAACAGGTTATGTAGAGTCAACTTGTCTGTCAGTTCTGACACCATTGTAGGTGTCCCCCAGTACTGCCTCCTCTGTAGGTGTCCCCCAGTACTGACCCCTCTGTAGGTGTCCCCCAGTACTGACCCTTCTGTAGGTGTCCCCAGTACTGACCCCTCTGTAGATGTCCCCAGTACTGACCCCTCTGTAGGTGTCCCCAGTACTGACCCCTCTGTAGGTGTCCCCAGTACTGACCCCTCTGTAGGTGTCCCCAGTACTGACCCCTCTGTAGGTGTCCCCCAGTACTGACCCCTTTGTAGGTGTCCCCCAGTACTGACCCCTTTGTAGGTGTCCCCAGTACTGACCCCTTTGTAGGTGTCCCCCAGTACTGACCCCTTTGTAGGTGTCCCCCAGTACTGACCCCTTTGTAGGTGTCCCCCAGTACTGACCCCTTTGTAGGTGTCCCCAGTACTGACCCCTCCATAGATGTCCCCAGTACTGACCCCTTTGTAGGTGTCCTTCAGTACTGACCCCTCTGTACTGACCCCTTTGTAGGTGTCCCCGAGTACTGACTCCTCTGTAGGTGTCCCTCAGTACTGACCCCTCTGTACTGACCCCTTTGTAGGTGTCCCCAGTACTGACCCCTTTGTAGGTGTCCCCCAGTACTGACCCCTTTGTAGGTGTCCCCCAGTACTGACCCCTTTGTAGGTGTCCCCCAGTACTGACCCCTTTGTAGGTGTCCCCAGTACTGACCCCTCCATAGATGTCCCCAGTACTGACCCCTTTGTAGGTGTCCTTCAGTACTGACCCCTCTGTACTGACCCCTTTGTAGGTGTCCCCGAGTACTGACTCCTCTGTAGGTGTCCCTCAGTACTGACCCCTCTGTACTGACCCCTTTGCAGGTGTCCCCCAGTACTGACTCCTCTGTAGGTGTCCCCCAGTACTGACCCCTTTGTAGGTGTCCCCAGTACTGACCCCTCTGTAGGTGTCCCACAGGACTGACCCCTTTGTAGGTGTCCCTCAGTACTGACCCCTCTGTAGGTGTCCCCCAGTACGGACTCCTTTGTAGGTGTCCCCAGTACTGACCCCTCTGTTGGCGCCCCCCAGGACTGACTCCTATGTAGGTGTCCCCCAGTACTGACCCCTTTGTAGGTGTCCCTCAGTACTGACCCCTTTGTAGGTGTCCCCCAGTACTGACTCCTCTGTAGGTGTCCCCCAGTACTGACCCCTTTGTAGGTGTCCCTCAGTACTGACCCCTCTGTACTGACCCCTTTTTAGGTGTCCCTCAGTACTGACCCCTCTGTATGGACCCCTTTGTAGGTGTCCCTCAGTACTGACTCCTCTGTAGGTGTCCCTCAGTACTGACTCCTCTGTAGGTGTCCCCCAGTACTGACCCCTTTGTAGGTGTCCCCCAGTACTCACCCCTCTGTATGGACCCCTTTGTAGGTGTCCCTCAGTACTGACTCCTCTGTAGGTGTCCCTCAGTACTGACCCCTTTGTAGGTGTCTCCCAGTACTGACTCCTCTGTAGGTGTCCCCCAGCACTGACCCCTTTGTAGGTGTCCCCAGTACTGACCCCTCTGTAGGTGTCCCCAGTACTGACCCCTCTGTAGATGTCCCCAGTACTGACCCCTCTGTAGGTGTCCCTCAGTACTGACTCCTCTGTATGTGTCCCCAGTACTGACCCCTCTGTAGGTGTCCCGAGTAATTCACCCCTTTGTAGGTTTCCCCCAGTACTGACCCCTTTGTAGGTGTCCCCCAGTACTGACCCCTCTGTAGGTGTCCCCCAGTACTGACCCCTCTGCAGGTGTCCCCCAGTACTGACCCCTCTGTAGGTGTCCCCCTGTACTGACCCCTCTGTAGGTGTCCCCCAGTACTGACCCCTCTGTAGGTGTCCCTCAGTACTGACCCCCAGGCCCCCATACTAACCCCTCTGTAGGTGTCCTCAGGTGTCTTGTTGTAGTTCCAGATGCGGATGGCGGACACAAGCACCTGCTGGTCGAAGTTGATGGTGATGGTGTGGCTGTTTCCTGGTGTGAACGGGATCAGCCACATGTGCTCGTCAGACAGGGTGATGTTGCTGCCATTGATCAGTCTGCAGTCAGAGAGGAGAGATACGTGAAAACTTCCAAATTCTTATTTCCTCAATCTTTGTTTAGCAATTCCTAAACCTTTCTTCAGTATTTCTTTTCTGTGAGCATTTTCTGAACCTTTTTTTAGCACTTCCCTGACTTCACTATTGTTTCCCTGACCACAACGCCAACTCAAGAATTATGCAAATACTGTACACAGCCATGAAGACATATTTCCATTGGAGTACGAGACCAGTCTGTTCGTAGACTCACTCATACCGTCTGAGTTGTAGTGAGAGATTGACCTACTTGTCGAGTGTCCGGTCATCGTGTTCATGTCCAGGCAGACCGTGCAGATCCCGGGGGTTGGCAGACACCATAGACATCTTCAGTGGTATTGGCTCCCCGTCCTTGTCTGCGATCTCGAGGCCAGACAGACCCAGATAGTGCATGTCTCCCCATGTAGCAGTGAAATCTAGTTCCAGCCCTACAAGTATATACACAGACAGTGAGAGACACTCATAGGCCACAGTCAAGTCTAGTTCTACAACACCTGTATACACAGACAGTGAGAGACACTCATAGGCCACAGTCAAGTCTAGTTCTACAACACCAATATACACACAGTGAGAGACACTTATAGGCCACAGTCAAGTCTAGTTCTACAACACCAGTATACACACAGTGAGAGACACTTATAGGCCACAGTAAAGTCTAGTTCTACAACACCAATATACACACAGTGAGAGACACTTATAGGCCACAGTCAAGTCTAGTTCTACAATACCAGTATACACACAGTGAGAAAACACTTATAGGCCACAGTCAAGTCTAGTTCTACAACACCAGTATACACACAGTGAGAAACACTTATAGGCCACAGTCAAGTCTAGTTCTACAACACCTGTATACACACAGTGAGAGACACCTATAGGCCACAGTCAAGTCTAGTTTTTAAACACCAGTATACACACAGTGAGAGACACATACAGGCCACAGTAAAGTCTAGTTCTACAACACCAGTATACATACAGTGAGAAAACACTTATAGGCCACAGTCAAGTCTAGTTCTACAACACCAGTATACATACAGTGAGAGACACATACTGGCCACAGTCAAGTCTAGTTCTACAACACCTGTATACACACAGTGAGAAACACTTATAGGCCACAGTCAAGTCTAGTTCTACAACACCTGTATACACACAGTGAGAGACACCTATAGGCCACAGTCAAGTCTAGTTTTTAAACACCAGTATACACACAGTGAGAGACACATACAGGCCACAGTAAAGTCTAGTTCTACAACACCAGTATACATACAGTGAGAAAACACTTATAGGCCACAGTCAAGTCTAGTTCTACAACACCAGTATACATACAGTGAGAGACACATACAGGCCACAGTCAAGTCTAGTTCTACAACACCAGTATACACACAGTGAGAGACACATACAGTCTACGTGGAAGACTGGAGATGCCCGCAAACCTCAAGGTGCCATCTGAGTACACCTGCAGACAATGCTGCTACTGCCACATTCTTGACAGTTCATCAAAAGAAGCAAATTGTGACTTACGCTTAGTCTTATAGACAATCAGATCTCCATCGTAGGTGACCATGCTGGTGGTGGGTCTCGGCGTGGTCTGCGGCTGTTTGAGGAGGCCTCCCGCTGCCCGCGTGAACGGCCGCTCCTGGACACAGAATGCAGATTGTCAGTTTTGTTATTCGGCCCATCCAAACACAAGGTTGATGGGTCGTTTATGTAGGGGTTTCCTTTCACAAATCATATATAAATCAGAATAGATAACAACACACCACTATTCATTTCCAATCTGAAACCTTCGTGTTTGGTTGGGGGAAATGCATGCCTTCAACAACCTCCAACCAGACTGAGGCACCCTGCCCATAGCATCCTTAAAAGGAGAGAGTGATTCTGGTTTAATGCTGCTTTCAACAGTATTTCCGGTATGTGTCAACTAGTCAACTAACGCCGCATCAGCATTCTTGCAGCTATTCGCGGCAAACTTGTGGAAGGCCAGCCTGAAGTAATGTAGGTCTCAGATGTTTACTACGTTGGTGAAACCCGCGAGCGTGGTTACATAGTGCTGGCAAACCTAAAAACATCATTGGAGTGAATCTGGGTTCCAGGTTTCACAAGTTCTTGGCATTTCCGAATTTTTTCCAAGTCTAATGACATTCACAGATCAATAATTAGCTGAATTCCTAACTAGTTGCTCACATCATTGTCAGCTGTGGTGGGCCTCTCGAAGGGGACATCGTCCTCGTCATCGCTGAACATGTCCCCATCGTACGCCTCGTCGTTCTTCGACACCTCCTCAAGGATTCCCTCGTCCATGGTGAACAGAATCGTCTGAAATGGTACAATGTCAAACAATTGTTATCTAATGATATTTCATCGCTTATAGAGGAGATTGATCAACTTACAAACCAACTGCCGACAGCTGCTATGGTATTCAACAAATAATTAGCCACATCTGCTCATCCTCTAACTTATCTCCAAGCAAACAGACACTATCTGGTGAACATATTTCTCAACAGCTGGCACAAAGTTTGTTTGTTGTTTTACATGGCAGACAGCCATGTTCCAGCTATATCACAGCAACCTGGAAACAAGGCAAAAAGTGTGCAGGGCTAACTAATACCCCCGACCTCAACTCCAACATATTTCAAGTTCAAAACATGAAAAATGCAATATTTTTTCAGATAATCCACCTATAGAAATCAAACTTTGTAATGCACATCTCCAATTAGTATAGAGAAGTGTTCCTTAAATTTGTAAAGAATCCAGTGGTATTTCTCATGTTATGGGAAGGTTAAAAGATCATATTTTCTCAGAAAATCAACATATCGAAATCAAACTTGGCACTGCACTTCTTCTATTGGTATAGTAAGTGTTCACTAAGTTTGAAAAGAATGTATGCAGAAGTGTTTAAGTTATAGGTCACACAAAAAAAGTCCTCAGAAGTACAGACGCACAAACAGGCGGAATTCCTTGGTATAAATATATAGCCCCTCCCTTTTAAGTCAGGGGTATAGTAACCAAGTCGGGGCCAGACAAAGCAGAGACTATATGAATGAGCATGTTCCAAGTCACCTGGGCATGAGGACACCCAATCCACCAAGCCACCTGGGCATGAGGACACCCAATCCACCAAGCCACCTGGGCATGAGGACACCCAATCCACCAAGTCACCTGGGCATGAGGACACCCAATCCACCAAGCCACCTGGGCATGAGGACACCCAATCCACCAAGCCGCCTGGGCATGAGGACACCCAATCCACCAAGTCACCTTGGCATGAGGACACCCAATCCACCAAGTCACCTGGGCATGAGGACACCCAGTCCACCAAGCCACCTGGGCATGAGGACACCCAATCCACCAAGTAACCTGGCCACCTGATCCATGTTAGCTGCCTTGCACAAGCAACACAGTGTTGAGGCCCGAGTCTGACCCACGTCTCTCCCCTGGGACAGTCATGTAAGCAATCTGCTGTACTCACATCACCGAAGGCCTCGGTTCCGCCCTCCACTCCGCCACATGCCCGAGCAATCTCTCCCTTGAACACCACCTGCTTGTCCAGGGTCATCGTCACATCCTTCGCTCCTCGGTAGGAATGGATGCGGGACTTGTTGTAGTTCTACACAGGTGAAGGAATTTTGAAAGTAATTCAAAAGTTATTTTGTCCTTTTTCAATTAATTAAATCAGAATTATTATTTTTTTATTTGTTTATCAATTTGTATAAATCAGTTAAAAAGAGAAAGGTCATCTGTCTTGGCAAATGTATTTGTGTTAATTGAATTGGAAATATTCTTTCCACTAATAGTTTCATTACACAATCACACAACACAGTGAAATCAACATAAGGTTACCCTCATAACCAAAGCAAATCTTTAAGTATTTGGTGTCTATGACAGCCATGACGTGTGTTGAACAAAAACACTAACAGTATTTCCAGTAGGTATGCCATCTATGTCAGCCACGACACACAGGCTAGGACGACCTATGTCAGCCACGGCACACAGGCTAGGACGACTTATGTCAGCCACAGCACACAGGCCAGGACGACCTATGTCAGCCACGGCAGACAGGCCAGGACGACCTATGTCAGCCACGGCACACAGGCCAGGACGACCTATGTCAGCCACGGCACACAGGCCAGGACGACCTATGTCAGCCACCGCACACAGGCCAGGACGACCTATGTCAGCCACGGCACACAGGCTAGGACGACCTACCCAGATTCTGATCATGGCAATCTTGCAGGGTTTCTCGAAGGTCATAAACACTTTGTGGTCACCAGCCGGGGTGAACGGCGCCAGCCACATGTGCACATCATCCCGCGTCCTGTTCACACCGTCGATGATGTTGGTGATGACGCGAGGGTCTTTGTGGTAATCAGGAAGCTCGTTGATGTCTTTCGGTTTGGCCGAGATCTGAAGAATCATTGGTTAAACAGGATTACTGCAGCAGAACTACTGAATGAAACAAGGCAAAATAGTTAGTGGTTTTAAACATCATTAGCATATTTCAGTGTTATGTTAATGTGGGAGGAAAACCTGATGCGATGAAGGCCTGACAAACCAAGAATCAGGAATCAAACCCATGATTACAAATCTTACATGACAAAGGTGTGAATAGGCCACCCAAGCTCCTGTGACACATAGATACATGTGACTTTGAGAAATAGAGACATGTGCTACCCTGACCTGTTTGATGGTGACAGGTTCTCCCTTGCTGGAGAAGATGTCGATGCCGGTGAGGCCAACGTAGTGCTGGTCCCCCCACGTGGTCTTGATGTTCATAACCAGCTCCTGACCATAGGGCAGCTCCGGGATCACAAAATTCTCATCCCTGTCAACAAAACATTGTCAGTCACCTGAGAACAGTTCACATCTGTCATAACTCTCATTCTACTCATATAGTCACGTCTTGCCACAATCCTGACCCATGAAGAGTCACCTCTGACTTGCAACCCACACAAAGAAGGGAAGTTACTAAGCATATCAAAAAGAAGTATTGACAGTTTCTACTAACTGACAACTTTGAAATGTCTCTAAAAGATTATCATGACAATCATTTTACCTATAAACACGGTATCACTCACTGATCAGCTTAACCTCTACAACAGATTGCCAACAGACAGTTTACACACAGCGTGTACTCACTGATCAGCTTCGTCCTGGGCGACAGCTTCATCACCTGCATCTCCATCCCTCCTGCTTCCACTCAAATACTCCTCCATCGCTCCATCTGCTAAACAGAGGGAGAGCATTACAGCTGAGACAAACATTTTGTCCTCACATCACGCGTTGTACACTCATCCCTGCTGATGAGAGAGGAAGTCGGCTTTGTGGACAAAGCATCATAGACCAGTGGAAATTATGAACAAGACAGCCTGGCCAAGGATCATAAATAAGCATGAATTGGAAATTCAAAGCCAGCAGATCCACACCAACTAAAAGTTGGGCAGCCATGCTTGTGCTGCACTTACGCCCTCCTCCATCTATAGACAAGCAACCTTATTGCTGTTTGTGCCGCACTTACCTCCCATGTCTACTGACAAACGACCCCGCTGCTGCTTGTTGAACAGGGACAGTGAACCCCACTCCTCCTCCAGGTTGTCGTGTGACCCCCGCCACCGGGCGCGATTCTTCTGTATCCTCATCATGGGCGTGGCCAGATCGTCCGCCTCGGCTGCTCAACACATGGAGGATGGAGACGTAAGACAGCAGGAAGATGGATCAACACAAGGGTTTATATACTCAATATATACTCAATGGTACAAACACTAGGCTGAAAATGCAAAAATGTCCTGCTCTACCGGTAACACCCATCACTCACACAATTTTCATAAAAAAATAAATGCATTAATTTGTTACTTGACATTTCACCGCGCAAAACTCCAGCCATACAAGGAACACAGAACCAAATGTCGCGGACAAAACCTGGTTCCTGGATGTAGGACCGCTATCTAGATTTTGTTTACTTGTTTGCCACACTCAGAAATACTCCAGCCATATGCTGGCAGCTTGTAAATGATCAAGTCTGGACCAGACAATACTGTGATTGATTGTTTGAACAACAATCCAAGCCATTGGGGAATGATTATTATCACCCAATCCATTCGGTCGCCTCTTACGACCAGCATAGATTGCTGGGGACCTATTCTAACCAGCATTTTCCATGGGGTTGATAACATTTCATCAGATAACACTGGACCTTGATAATTGACATAATTTCTGTAACCTTTGTGAAGGCTTGGGAATGATGATGTAACTATTTTTGTCTACGTACGGGAGTTGTGAACCTCATACCTCTCTCAGCAGATGGGGAGGCTGCTGCACTTCGGCGGCCATCTTTGTCCAGCACTGTGCTGAGGTGGTCGACCCTGTAGACAAGAACGTCCGCATCCATCAAGTACAGGTGCACATGCTCAATGACCTAGGGCCATGCTTACTCAGGCCTTTTTTAAATAGCTTGGCTCAGAATTATTTTGTCTCAAGCCACAGGGATCTTGGATGAAATATAATAAATCTAAACATAGTTCCCCTGCACTATAGCTCATCTGTCTACAGTTTTAATGTCAACAAAGACAGACACATAAACTTTTGCTATTGATATTCAAATATATTTTCTAAATTTGAATGATTTGAACAACATGTCATGAGGAGAATATACAAGCCAAAGTTTAACTCTCTCAGTCTGGCAGTTTCTGAGGAAAAAAGTTTACAGAGGCAAATACCATTTGAGAGAACAAGGTCAAAGTTCAAAATATTGCCCCAAAATGGAACCCATACCAAATGTTATTACAATCTGAACAAAAAAAAGGCTGACAAATGGCCTTTAAGACCTTTGCAATGTTGAGGCTGAGGCAGCCATTTTGAAAAAATCGCGTTAAAACCTCTCAAACATCTACAGGTTTCATTTTTTGTGGAAACATGCAGTTTCACATTATGAAATTTTGGCTTGTGGGAACGGTAAGCCTTGTAATTTCAGAAGACAACATTTCACAGGCGGGATATGCACTCAATGATCAGTGACTGGGAATATAGGTATTGGATACAGTAAAATCTTGACGCTTTGTTGATCAAGCTCCTGGAGACGACTACACTTTTTGTTTTAATTACTCAAGTCATTATCACAGTTGATTTAGTAAAACCTGTGCGATTCGTTCAGGTGCAGTTAGCCAATAAAACAGTGCACAGTGACATCATCAGGTGAAGGACGTGGTTATCTAGCATTGTAACATATCTGATCTACGAGGCCATCAAGGAGTGAAGAAAGGTTATACTGTGTTGGCTGGTAATATAAACAAAATGACTTCTTATGCAATTGATTGATATTCTTTACATATGTGATCTATTGACAATTGTAGTGCAGAGCCATGGAGCCAAGCTGTGGAGCCAAGCTGTGGAGCCACTCTGTGGAGCTGAGCAGGGGAGGACAGTACTAAGACATGGTACAGGTCACAACAAGGTGTCTGGTCAAGAATACACAGCACTATCTAATGCTTCGTACAACCAGGATGGCAGCTATTGTACTTGGCCTAAACAACGCAGTGTCAGGAGTGTCATGTGACCTCAGGATATTGTGTCCCACTCTTGTTGATCCACCATTATCTCTGTCGGCCAAAGAGCAACCAACTCAAGAACATCAGCTGACAACAACGCTGGGTGAGGTACTGGCAGGTGGTTCTATTGCACCAACGCAAGGAGCTGACAACTGCATCTTTATGGGAATATTAATCACTATTCAGCATGAATGGTGCCAGCATGTGGCGCTTGCTTGTGGTGGCAGCTTGCTGCTCTTGGTGAGGGGAGTGAGTGAGTGAGTGAGTGAGTGGTGTGTGATGCTGAACAGTGGATCACTTATAGCAATGTGTCAGCAGAACCTGGGAGCAGCATCCAACGTATTGCCTTTGTCTCTGAATACCACCCTGGTGAAACCACAAGCATGGTCATGATGCTGACTGACCAAGAATCATATCAATGGGGAGAAAGTGGGGTAAGAACCCATGACAAGCAGGTACTGTCAGAGTTAAAGGAAACAACTCCATATCAGTGTAAGCACAGAACAAGACTCTAATCTAGGCTTCTGAGTCTAGTTGCCACCAAGGTCTACTGACTCTACTTAGCCCTACAACTGCAGAAAGCCAATGTTAAAGTGACAACAGCCTAAGCGCTTAGATCATACGTAATACGTGCAAGCGCTAAGATCATTACGTGCAAGTTGACCCTTGTCCTGCCTTAAACGGAATCAGGTAGTCAAACAACCCCACCTTGGACATCCTGACTTGACAACATTCCGTAGATTGTGAGTCTGTTCATCCAGCAGTAGATAGGTACTTGGGTTGTAAACTCCCCAAGGAGCTGAGTGTGAAAACACTATACTGCCTAACAGACAGATTGGGTTGTATACTCCCCAGGGAGCTGAGAATGCAATATGAATGCACACTGCTCCTTAGATCTGGGTAATAACGCTATCATAAACTCCACACACACGTCAAGTGTGGAGCTTGGAGACAGGCACGTCGTTATTGAACTAATTCTTTCATCCAATCGAGAAGCACAGGGGGCTTGCATCTCTCCCCTCCGGGGCTAGCAGGGTTCATCGGGGGCGACACGAACTCAAAAGCAAAAACACCACACTATGTTAAAATGGCACCGCAAACATTTGTGCAGAACAATCAAACAGCACACAGCAGTAGCAGTGTTCGAAATTAAGCATGCAAGTCAAGGGGTCCTTGTTATAACGTTATTGGAGAAAGAATACTACAGAAGGTAACCTCAGGACCCCAGGACCCCCTTAAGTTGGAACACGGAGCAGGTGCCCTGCAGGTGGGCAAATCCAGCATGCATAGTGTGACCAGACAGTGTTAGTGACACCCTATACCAACGTCTAGGTAATCAGTCTACCCTGCTTGTGGCCACACCCCCATGTCCTCCAACACAATAGGGTCGCTAGCGTCTTGCCTCGACTTCTTCCCAGGCTTCCCTGGCTGGGGGGAGGGGCTCTTCCCCTCAACTTGCCCCGCCCTGCTGGCTGGAGGACTCTTGAAGCGATCTGTAACAGGCCATGAAGATCATAGTAAACTTTCATGATTCAATATTACACGCATAGACAGCAATAGAAACTAACTGTAGTATAGCTTATAATGATAACACATAGCAAAACCCTTAAAAATGACAAATTTCTACTTGTCCTTATGATACCTTAACTATTGGGCACAATTATATTTCCAAGAAGTCGGTGAATATTGGCTCATACACATGTGCTGCTATAGAAAGATAGCTTCGTGATTCTGACCATGAGAGATAAAAGCCTGAAAGGACAAAACTACACCACATTTGTTTGCCCTACCTTGGACATCCTCAGCATTCAGCCAGGTGGGCACATCCTTCTTCCTCTGGGACTCACTGCAACACAGATGGGCACATGTAGGGCACATGTTGGGTCACATGTGATGGCTAAAGGTAGGAGCACATACTAAGAGGATATGGAGGCACAAAGTCTTGGTACAGGGTGGTGTCATATGTTGAGGCACACTGTGGCAAGACATGAAGGCCTATATCAGCATAGTCCAGACAAGCAGTTTATGTAACTTAACTAATTTAGGAAAACGTATCACTTGTCTTTGGACGAGTGGCCATGTTCAACCTGCACAGCGGCAGCACAACAGGATCAGGTGTCTTTAAAGCAAAATCATCATTAACTGCTCATAGAAGTGAGCAATATCTCAATCTCATTAAAATCAGATCTTAGTTCTCACTATCGCTAAACAAAGATTTGAGGACATCCCATTATGGGTCACGTCAGAACGACATTTCATCCAACCAATCAAAGCGTCGCTTACCAGATCATGAAAGTGACAGACGGAATGTGTTTTCTAATCATGCAACCTCGAAATATTTAACAGGGGGTAATCCGAACGACAGTTACGGGTTTTATGATTATATCCATACAATCTAGGCCATCTATAAGCCATTCCAGAATGTTCTTTCCATCAGTTTTAAATTTTTTAAACGAGAATATGTCAAAATATGTTTTGCAGCGTAGTCGCCAGTTTGAAACTAGTGTCATAAAGCTCGAGAAAGCCGCTTTCTGATTGGCTAATGTCGATTTCTTGTCAGTCATTTCATTGATCGGTCAAAGTTCGCGAAAGGTCGTTCTGACATGAACCGTAATGGGATGTCCTCAGATCTTTGTTTAGCGGTAGTGAAAACTAAGCTCTGATCTTAATGAGATTGGCAATATCTCAGCTACTTCATGGTATGTTAAGTAATATCTGGGCAAGGCAAACTAGTGGCTGAAAGGATGATCTGTGAGTGACAGTGCCTACCCACCTCATCACCATTTTAATCAGCTCAAGGGTGAAAGACAGGGCAGGTATTATTCGGACCTAAGAATCTATACAGTTATTAACCTTACTTGAAGCAAACAAAACTATGATTTTTAAGAACTTTCAATGAATTTACAATGTGATGACACTTTCACCGTAAACAATGGTTAGCAGTGTGTAAAAATTCAAATCATCAAATAGTGGAGAGTTAGTACTTTGCAACAAAAACTGCAGCTTAAATTCTCATGTTACAGTAGTTATCATGACAAAGGGAGGCAACTGTGAGGGTCATTAGTGTCCAGATGCTGGAAGGTGGGGTGTGCAGACACAAACAACACAAACTGCAACAATTGCAACAAATCTGTAATCACACTGCATTACTGGTCTGCATGTTGCAACATGTTATGTAACCACTTTGGTCTGCGGGGATCTGGAGGTAGGACGCACTGGTTGATGAGGGCCGACTCTTCATCGGGGGAGCTATAGGGGTCATCACTGCTGTCACTGGAATAGATGCACCTGAAGGTCGTCAAGACAGGGCCAGAGAGAGTGTGTTGGAGAGGAGGGAGTGAACTGAGAAGAGAAGGGAGGAAAGAGGGAGAGGAAGGGGAGGGCAAGAAAGGGGAGAGAGTGAAAGAGGGAGAGGGGAGAGTAAGGGAGGGGGGAGAAATGAGAGAGAAAGATCAAGAGAAAAATGGGGAAGGAGAGAAAGGGGAGAGAGTGAAAGGAAAGAGTGAAGGATGGAGAGTAAGGAGAGGGGGAAATGAGAGAAAGAAAGGAGAGAGAAAGGGTAATAGCAAAATGAGGAAGGAGAGAAAGGGGAGAGAGTGAAAGGAGGGGGGAAGGAGAGAAAGAAAGGAGAGAGAAAGGTAGGAGAAAGTAAGTAAAGAAAGGGGAGAGAGAGAGAAAGGTAGGAGTGAGAGAAACCACAGAAAAAGTCTTTCAAAAACTTTCAGAAACTTTCAAAAACACAACATCCTACACCAACATAATCAGCTATGACAGCATCACATTCTAACAGCAGCTACAAGTGGGTTCAAGACAATGCCAGCCTCCGGTCCCATGAGATCACTATAGGACATCCTGCACCAGCATCCTTACCTGATGTTCAGGACAATGCCAGCCTCCGATCCCATGAGATCATTATAGGACATCCTGCACCAGCATCCTTACCTGATGTTCATGTCCTTCAGCTTCTGTAACATTGGGGTGTCATCACTGTCTCGAGGGAGGGGAGTTTTGCTGGGCGTGGCCCTCCGGGGAGAGGGCGACGTCCCTCCCCGCCCATCCTCTAGGGGGGCAAGAGACTTGGGTCTGGCTGGTGGAGGTTGTTCTGCAGACATGTTTGGGGTCTTCTTGATGGGCCCAAGGGGACTTTTCGGGTCCAAGCTGGAAAATATAAGATTCTCATTAGTAACAGTAACTAAAACATCAGTGCAGGACATTATATCAGGGTTAAGCATCACACATTTGGTGAAATACATGTTACAATATTTTCTTTTATTTCTTTATTAGAAAGGCTGTAATATAATTGTTGTTTTATTATATACAGTAACTCTCGATATCTCACTATTGTTGGGGATTAAGATCACGACCACTCGTTCTAGGAAAGTGCTTTATACAGGTATTGTACATGTTCTGGTAACTTTACACACAGATGATGGAATAAAGTAAGAACGTAATCAAAGACAGGTAAACTTTTCAGATGGAGGAGCCACATCTCACCTGTCGCTGACAGACCGGGATGTGTCAGTCTCGGAGTTGTGGCCATCCAGGCGGGCTGCCAGTCGTTTTGGCTTCCGCGGAGTCTTCACACGCCCCTTCTCAGGCATCTTTAGCCCATCTGGGGAATATAAGAGTTGGTGCTCACGGTGTGTGCTACAGACGGTACAATGGTAAACCCAGACATGCTCTTAGCTATTTTGGCTTGTGTGCATACCCTTGCTGAGGCACTTTAACTTAAGTCACATCACCTGGATATTATCTGGATCTGAGGGATGGATGGGAGTGGATGAGAGTGGATGGGGGTGGATGAGGGTGGATGGGGGTGGATGAGGGTGGATGAGGGTGGATGGGGGTGGTGAGGTAGGATCATGGAGAAAAGCATGGGTTCCTTGGGACCTACTCTACCCTTAGAATCCCAACAGAGGACATAGGAACATATGTTACATGTTGCGTAACTGTCATTAATGCAAAGATTGATGCTACTCACACTATGTTTAGGTCAGTTAATGAAATTTGAATAGAAAAAACAGTGGATGAGACTGTAGCTAGCAGCTTTGTGCGACAGGAGGTGAAACTGTAGCCAGAAGCTGTGTGATACAGTGGGCAAGACTGTAGCTGACAGCTGTGTGAGACAGTAGGTGAGATTGTAGCTTGAAACTGTGAGCGACAGTTGGCGAGATTGTAGCTTGCAGCTGTGAGACAGTAGGTGAGACTGTAGCTTGAAACTGTGAGCAACAGTTGGCGAGATTGTAGCTTGCAGCTGTGAGACAGTAGGTGAGACTGTAGATTGAAACTGTGAGCGACAGTTGGTGAGATTGTAGCTTGCAGCTGTGAGATAGTTGGTGAGATTGTAGCTAGCAGCTGTGTGAAACAGTGGATGAGACAGTACCTGAGTAGCGTGCAGCTGTGTGACAGTGGGTCAGACAGTAGCTAGCAGCTGTGAGACAGTGGGTGAGACTGTAGCTAGCAGCTGTGTGAGACAGTGGGTGAGACTGTAGCTAGCAGCTGTGTGAGACAGTGGGTGAGACTGTAGCTAGCAGCTGTGTGAGACAGTGGGTGAGACTGTAGCTAGCAGCTGTGTGACACAGTGGGTGAGACTGTAGCTAGCAGCTCTGTGAGACAGTGGGTGAGACTGTAGCTAGCAGCTGTGTGAGACAGTGGGTGAGACTGTAGCTAGCAGCTGTGTGAGACAGTGGGTGAGACTGTAGCTAACAGCTGTGTGACACAGTGGGTGAGACTGTAGCTAGCAGTTGTGTGACAGTGGGTGAGGCTGTAGCTAGCAGCTGTGTGAGACAGTGGGTGAGACTGTAGCTAGCAGCTGTGTGAGACAGTGGGTGAGACTGTAGCTAGCAGTTGTGTGACAGTGGGTGAGACTGTAGCTAGCAGCTGTGTGAGACAGTGGGTGAGACTGTAGCTAGCAGCTGTGTGAGACAGTGGGTGAGACTGTAGCTAGCAGCTGTGTGAGACAATGGATGACACAGCAGGGACAGTCTGGACAGTGTGGCCACAGTTCCTCATGGTAGCCATCTCATTATCTGCATCGCCCAGATAACTAACACCGATCACCAAACAATGGTTCCTTTGACATGATTATGTACACACAAAGGATCAAATATTGAAGACATACAGTGATAGTCAAGACCAATGCCACTCACTGACCCAGGAGATACATTGAAAGAATGATGTGTTCTCCCAATGCCACTCACAGACCGGCTCCACTGTGACAGTCAGTGACCACTGTCAGAGATCACTGATGTGTTAACTCCACATGAATTCTTCATGCCAACATGAGGACATCAAGAACATCGACAGCCACTACACTCACAAGCACTCTCCCTGACAAACTACTGATAAACATGACCTGGGTGTCGTTGTAAAAAACAACCTTAGCTACGATTGTCGTCGGTCCATGTTAAAGTATGGGAATTACAATCATCTTAGCGCTAAGATCGCTTTGTGTAACGGCACCCTGACCATGATGTTAACACAACAAACTGTATATTTTAAGATTATCAACCAGTAAAACATTCGTAATGACTACAGTAACAATCTGTTTCCATGAGTGACAGAGACTGTATCCCCTGGTCATGCTATAACATGTATATATACAACTTACAGCAGAAGCCCCTTCAGCTCTGGCAGGACAATCCAGGACAAAATCCACAGATTACAAATGTGACGGACTGACATGCACACTTTGTCATGTCCACACAAGAAGTCTGATTGAAGGTATCGTTGGAGTCAGTCAGCCGTGATAAATGACTTTCTAACTAGACAGTGTTCAATAGACAGAGCTATCTCTGGCATAATGCCAGGCGACACTGATAGCACGGTGGCAGTGTGTACACTGGCGTGTGTGGTATTGGTGTGTTGTGAACCTAGAGCTTAGGGTCAACCTGACCCATGTGAATTAAGTCTGCACCCTCGAGGAGGTACTGTACACCCTCGAGAAGGTACTGTACACCCTGATGCCATGTCAGATAACACCTAGTCTCACAATTGTCTTGACAACAAATCACATCATAAAAGCTGACAAAGAAAAATTGTATGCATTGTAAATGATTCTTTCAATTTATTTTTATCCACATTCATTGCGGATGCATATTATTCTGAATATTGCTCCTTCAATCAACTGGTTAGATTTTATTTTTATATCCAAAAATAGTCAAGTATATTTTCAAGATATCAAATATATTCTTTGTGATACAAACATATTGGTTTGAACTCCATAACAGCCTCTAAAGCCTCTGAATAAATCTGTGTGACAGATCATGGTGGACTAGAAAATGAAAGGTCCAAAAGTCTGCTGTTTCTCATTTCCACTGATAACCTGGAACATCGGTTCCATCCATTAACTGTACAGGGTCAAGGTGAACAACTCAACACATTTCCTGGGACTCGTCAAGTCATCATCACTGGCTGATATCACAAGTGTCCGTAACAATCTCCCGATTCATATTATAATCATGTTTTAGTTGTGTAAACATGACTTGTATGTCAGTGCTAACAAGATCAATAAAGAGAAAAAGGCTTCAATACTTCCAATTATACATAAAATATATCTCTGAAGTTAGGAAATTAAGGATCTTAAAGAAACATCCCAATTTGGGAAAAGTAATGTTTTTCCTAAATTTTCCTGCTACAGGTAGTTTAATCCTTGATTTCTATAACAAGAGAACATTAATTTGTATTCTCTGTGCCCTACACAAAAAGTGAGTTTGGTTTAACACTTTATAACAGTATAACAGTATTTCAGTTATATCCACCAGGTCACCGTGATGTGGGAGGAAAGCCTGAAGTGAAGCAGGTCTTAGGTTACCCATGAGCACCCACACTAAGGGAGGGACATGTTGACTTTGCTCAAACCTCCAGAGGTGTAGGTTATCTGTCCTTCATCTTATTGACGCTTGAGGGACACTTTGTAGGTCGTAAATTAATCATTAGAAATGGTTCATGGATTTTGTTCTAACAGAGGTGACTCGGAGACTCCACTGTCACAGCCCTTCAGTCCTACCTCACACAAACCTACAAACTGGAAACCCAGAAACCTGAATCAACCCAATCTCCATCACGACACCATCACTCTGTATAAGACACTTATACCATGCATACTAGAGTTCATGGGGATGAAAGTTATAAACAAAAAGTACTATACATGACATGTCTAAAGTCCTCTTCTGTGTCCCGAACTTTCATAGTATATACTTATGCTGAGGGAGACTACAAGTTTCATTTCTCAACCTTCATCAGCTGCATTATGAGCTGCTGAGCTTTTGGGAGGTATTTCAAACTTTATATTTCAAATTTAACATTTCAAATTTAATGTGTCAAATTTAATATGTCAAGTTTTGATAGACATGGGTTATTTATTTAGGGGGTCAAGGGGACTCACTGTCGTTAATTGAAGGGGTCCTAAGTTTGTAAATGAGAGCCCGAAGCTGGGATATTGCTGAGTGTGGCATTAAACAACAAACAGAGAATGGGGGTCCCAGAGAAATGTCATAATTTGTATCAAAGAATATTGATTCAAATAAACAGCTATATTCCTCATTATCCTCAGTGTTTGATGAAGATGCACTCGGAGACACACTCGAACTGGCCCCACCAAAACTCATTCTCAAATCTTGTTGTGTTGCCATGCTTGTGAACACATACTTGCTCCAACCTATCTTAGACAGCACACTACCACAGGTGACATAAGATTGTGGATCAGTGGTTGGTAGTTAAACACTGACAGGGAACATACCCAATGACATGAAACTACAAATGCAAGCGCTACAAGACTGAAGAATGCAACTGTGTATTGTATCCTTTACATAAGGACATTCATTTTACATAGTTCAAATCATTCATTCAAAAACAATACAAACTGTCTGCATCCCAGTGGATGCATGTTGTGTTTACTTTACATCTGTTTCCAATTTCTGTGGCTTAGATTTTGCATCTGGTAAATTCTTAGATTTTCAAAGCCATATACAGCTATGAAAAGGCAGGGGTAAGGTACAATTCCTTATATGGAAGCTCATGGTGACAGTCACTGAGTTGGACAACAGATGAAGGATGGTTATTGTTGGCACACCTGCATCGCAGAACATCTTTACATGTGCCCTGTGACAACAATGGACATACAAACACTTCTATGTTCGCATAAAGGTTCATCTGCTCTCCTGTGAGCTGTTGTTAATCTCTGAGACGTGACGTTTGTTGTTTAACGCCATACTCAGCAATATTCCAGCTATATGACAGTGGTCTGTAAATAATCGAGTCTGGACCAGATAATCCAGTGATTGATATCATGAGCATCGATCTACGCAATTAGGGTACGATGATATGCATCAACCAAGTCAGCGAGCCTGACCACCTAATCCCGTTAGACACCTCATACGACAAGCATAGTCGCCTTTTATGGCAAGCATGGGTTGCTGAAGACCTGTTCTACCCCAGATCTTCACGGGTCTGTTAATGTCTGTGTAGATTTGACCCTAGTTATGTCCTGTCACCTCCGGTGTGTACTGACAGTTAAAGTAGAAATCAAGTTAATCCTGTCTTCATTGATACAAATGTCACTGAGACATCTGTCGTCATGGATCATAATATTTGGAAAAACTTGACCAAGGT